GTTGCTTATATACATATAAAAATGTAACCATTATCAATATCTATCTTGTTTTTTTTTCTAAAGATGTAAGTGGAGAGAACAGTCAGAATCTACTTCTATATACAACATGACGGGTGTCTAGACAACGATGCTGTTTTAAGCTCTAAGAAAACAAGAGATGTTTGCGAGACATGTATGCTCACCTTAGAACAACCGATTAGTCATGTTACAACCAAATCTAAAGACTGTAAGCCAGTTTTTGTCGTGAAGATTACAGTGATCTTTGATCTTCTTCCACCAGTAAAGCTGGAACGTAGCGATATGACCTATACTGTGTCGATGTGACGTAAAACCCAAAACAAACAAACAAACAAACATCTAAATTCAAGGTCTGTAGGCTAAATCACTCTCTACTTAATGATCAGACAGGCTGTCTGCGATCAATGTCACAGTGCACAATGTAAAAAATATATGTCTATTTTGTTAATTCCTACTTTTGTCATCTTTTTTATCATATAAAGAACCCATCTTTACACTTTTCAAGTGCTTGTTTGATGTCAATGGGTCGTCATTGCAGTGGGTCAAGGTTATTGAAAATATTGCAACAACACTGAGTGCTCATGTGATCTTTATATATGCTAAAGCATGCTTTCTTCTTTGTTAATGTACACCTGCATGCAAGGTTTCTATGCAAGAAATATTTCTGTTTACAACCAAAAACCACCCCAAACACCTACTTTTTCCTCATTCCACTGCCATATAGTGTTGAATGGACAACATTATGTACACCAATCCCATATAGTGGAACAAACAATCTTCAACTTCTGCATCAATAAATTCTATGCTCTTTTTTCATAATGTAGGTTATATGTTAAGTGTGATTTTCAGATAGATTGAGCAATACATTGATTATGCATTTTACCAGACAGGACAGGTTCCTATTGATATGCATTTATTTTGCAAACCATCATATCTGCCTTGCCATTTATAGCTTAAAAATATGCATAATTACATAATAGAACTAGCTATCTGATGTGGAACAATAAAAGCTTGTCTAGAGATAATTGTTTCTCTCTCTTTTTTACCCTTTATCTCTAAACAAAGATCAAATGCAACATGAAAATCTAATGAAAACATATTTTCCTACAGCAACAGTAAATGACTGACCTATATTGAGAATTCAAAGCATAAATGTTCTTATTTGTATGATCTTCTAGCACTGCATCAATATGGAACTGTTAAATTCAACAACACCATAAAGAATATATGATATTCCTGGCATATTTATGAAGCATTATGTTGACAAGTTGATCTCTCATTACTTTTATCCTCCCACACAGGATAATTTATAGGCAGTATTTTCATATATCCATTACCCTAGAAATATTCTCCACATTATAACCACTACAATAACAAGAGCATATACATTCCTTGAAATATTTTAGACCTGAAAGTCTGTCAGGGTAATAGGGATATACATAACTGTCCCAGTGACAGTCAATACACAATTGTTTAGAAAATATCATAGAACTGGACTGAGTAAGAAAACATTGTTGTTCATGACAAGAAAAGAAAAATTGTTTTAAATCATCAGAATGCCATCTTGTGTAGATAATGCATTTTATTGAACCAAATGTTGTACCAGAAGTTCGAAGAAGATTAATTTTAGATGACATCTTTCATTAACCCTATAAAATAGCATTTCAAAGCCTTATTGTGTCATAGTTTAGAACTGTTATTCAGGTGAGAAAAAAGGTAAGCAACTGTACAGCTTCAGTTCGGTAGAGCCACATAATGTCATTCCGAGTGTCCCAGGTCAGAGTCCTGGTCAGGCTGCACATTTTTCTCACCCTGTGTCACTTATATACAGTATCTTTTTTTTTCAACAACATTAAATTAACACAATACCTGAAGTGATAGAAATATTGGCAAACATACAAGTGAATAGCATGTCAGTATATCTTATCTTAGATCTAAATATTTCTATAACATAGACTTTTACATTAAAATTGTTAACATGGGAAATTATTACATCTCAAAAATATCTCTCTTACAAAACCTCTTCTAAGAGAACTCATTTATATACATTGCATCAGATAATTTAAGACCGAAAGAAATATTTAGGGAATAAAAGTTAATATATCAGATAATCTAAAAGCTAAAGAAATATGTAGAGAGTTTAGTTTTCTTGTCTTCCTATCTATAATAGTACCATTAAAAGCTGACTGTTTCTAGTGAATTTAGTCTGAGAGTTCTATATCTAGTAAAACAGCAGTTTTTCTGGAACCATGGATATTGGCAGAAATTGATGTACTGCCAGTTTAGCTTCAGACCTACTTTATGCCAATAAAACGTTAGACAAATTATTGGGCAGCATTTTCCTGGAAGTATACAGTATAGACTGCAAATATCTATTTGGTAGCTTGCTGAATTGTATATACATTCACTTACTTCCAGGCATTCAAAATTTATGTAAGATTATCCTTTATAGAATGACACTTACAAAATATACAACATGTACTTTTAAATAATAATTTTCAATGTTGTGCACTGCTAGAACAATGTAGACCCATGCAATTTACGTTAGTGCTTATTAATCAGCATTAATGAAATTAAATCTGTCCAGCTCGACACAGGCATCAGATTTAATGGAATTAATGCTTAGAGTGGTTGAAATAATGTTTTGAATCTTTACACAGTATATGTATGATTTGCTTATTTAATGGGATAGCTTGTGAAAATGAAATGAATTCAATGTATCAAAGAATTTTAAGTTGCAACAATTTCATTTGACAACACATAATATCAACCACTAAGAGAAACACAGTAGAAAGGTATTCATAACAATCTGATTAACAGATTTACATATCTTCAAGTTTATTTCATCAACAAATTATGTCTACCAAAAGACTGACTTAATCAGCAAGTTTTGTTTACAACAAGAAAAATTTTCACAAAAATATTAAAATTTTCAAAAAACTTTCTATACTCTTATATTGCGAATTGTTTACCAAATAAATGTGTGTAACAACATATGCCAGTATTTGATTTGTTTTTATTAATGAAATACAATTCAGCTAGGTGGAAGCAATCAGATGTGCAAAGGTAAATAATTTCATTAATTAATTTCACAAATTTTTGTTGGGTTTCTTTTGGCTGAACTAGTTTATCAAACAGACCTTGGTTATCAACTGAACATAAATATATGAGCCGTGTCACGACAAAACTAACATAGTGCATTTGCATCCGCGCAGTCTGATCAGGATCCACGCTGTTCGTTATCAGTTTCTCTACTTGTTATTGAGTTGGTAAGCGAACAGCATGGATCCTGATCAGACTGCGTGGATGCGCAGGCTGGTCTGGAGCCATGCTGGTCGCAAACACATTATGTTGATTTTGTTGTGACGCGGCTCATTTATATTGTATTAGTTACATTAGAAGCTTCAAAAATGTCTTCTCTATGTTGCATGTGTTTATTATTTCCAGTAACCTCTTTACATTACAAAAATGACCTTTAGTGTCATAATTTAGCACTTTCCTATATAAACCTGTCAAACTGATATTGTTTTATCTTGTGTTATGTTACTTGTGAATATTCCCTACAGGCTGATTAATCCCCCACAAGAATCATTCAATATCATATATCTTAGATATATCTTTCCTTTTTTTTTGCAAAAAAATGCTTTTATAATATCAGAATACAAAGTGGTTATTGACATGTTGGAATATTTTGTAAAAGGCGAAACTGTCATAACATTGATAATCTAGACTGAAGGTTAGAGAATGTACAGATAAAATGTCAGATAGTTGATGCATCATTCACTTAATAAAACACATATGTTATTGATGGCTTTTACAGACAAAATCAAACATATTTAGTTCAGTTTTTTATCCTCACTGGCTACATTGAATTTCCAGCATGTTGCATGCATTTTGTATGCAAAAATGTACCAGGAATACATCAGTTTGCTATAATATACATAATGAGACTTCTTTGTGAATTCAGTATTGATTTACTTGTCAAGTTCCTGAATTCTAAGCAACACCATAAAGTGGCAAGAGAGAAAAAAAGTTCATTTCTGTATCACACCCTATTCTTTTGAAATTATCACATACTTGTCATTGTGTACTCTGCTGATAAGAATTTAATAAATTGTGAACAATTTAGCTGATTAAAGTACTTTCTTTTTTTTTGGGGGGGGGGGGGGTCCTCAATCCTGGATACTATTGATGTGTTGTGTAATTTAATGAATGAAAGCCGAGTTCAGCTCAGTGCATTAAGACTGCATCAAAATCTGACAAAAGTTTCCAGTCTAGTTAATGTTTATTTGATAGATGCTCTAATTTTTGCAGTATTAATAGATATAATGTGATTAAATGGTCACCATGATGGTACAACAAATCTGAACTTAAATGAAACCAAATTCTTAAACAAAACAAAAATACAATTGTAACATCTTTCTTTTATATAAATAATCAAAGAGGAATGTAACAATACAAATTAACAAGCATACAGTTAATTCACAAAATTATCAGAAATTTATTTTAGCTGCAACAGCCAAACTCCTGCCCACTTCCTCTCTCAAAAGATTGCCGTGGACAGCAAGGTAAACAAGTCTTTTATGTAATTTTGTTGGCAACCGCACCAAAGCGTGACACCCTTTATGGAATGCATTCAGATTTTGTGGCAGGGCAATCCAAACTTTTTGGCCCTTTCTGCCAGTCTTAGCCGAGGACATTCTGATTGGTGAAAGGGTAGTTGTTGTTTTTGTTTAGTGATTTTTAAAAACATAATGGTCATTCATGTTTGCGCTATGCTAAACAAACTGGAGAATTTTGCAGGAAATGAAATGCAAACATATTCAACAGTAAATTAATCAACTATATAATTATAACCTAACCAGCAATTAGGGAGGAATGCTATCATCTAATCTTGGTAAAGATTATACTGGACATTTTCTGGTCACTGTCAAAGTTCTCACAACATTCAAAGTGACAAACAAAACATTTATCATACTCACCATTAGAATATCCATATTCATCTACAGGCTCTTCCTCCTGTTTTACTACAATGGGTGGGGTATTTTCTGGAGTAGGTACAGGAGAACTTGCCTTCACTGGTGATTCCACAACCTGTAATGTTATAATATATACAGACAAACTGCTTCATTACATCTAATGCTATTATATGTGTGTGTATTAAGGTCAAGGTCAGTCTTGATTACTTGAACGTCTTGTCCTAAGGGTTGTTGTGTCCATGTATGAAGGCCACTGATTAAGAGATCCCCTCCCCCCAATATGATCAGTGTTAATGTTTTCTTCTAATGGCAACATCATCAACTCAACGAAATACCAATAGCTCAAATGTTTTGTGAAAAAAAATGATAGAACTAAAAATGATGAATGCACAAAAATTTAATTTTTCAATAAGGAATACCCCTTATACCTGTTGCTCAACCCATAGATTTTTCTGCTAGAAAACTGATAATTTGAGAGAACAAAACATACAAAATCAAGACTATAATTTAAATTCATCTAATCATTTACATGTACATTATATTATAACATGACTCAACTATGAATTAATCAATGAACCAACTACATTTTCCAAACACAGATAAATGTGTTCTTCATCAAAAATAAAACATTTACTGATTGTATCAAAGAAAATCTATGCAAGCTTACATCAATGTCTTATGTTAAGGTTATTAAATATCCATTTATTCAATGCTTTATGGGATTTTCAAATGACTTTAATCTAAAAACTTGTCTGGTAATTGAATTTCCAAGTATCTGATTCAAAGATGCACACACGCACACACACACAAAAAAACTCACCAAACAAGCAGAAAGCACTTTTTCATTTTTCCATACCACAGATATATTGCACACAATGTAAATCAAGAGGCTTGAAAAAATAACTCTTTTTCATTTTGGTGATTCCATTTTTATCAGAAATCAAATGACTTTCAATGGGGTCAAACATTTAAAGATAAATTAATTAGTTAAGTCACTGCAGTACTGTTCAATGCAATTGGCAACTTTCCAACTTAATTAGTGAAATACCTTATTTATGGAAAACCACAGTATTTAATTTGAACAGTATTTACAAAATGAAATTGTTGTCAAACACAGAGAACATAGAAACCAGAGAGAAGTTTAAGTCTAACAACAAAATGTTGTTGATGTTGTATATTTTACAAAAGATAGAGAAACCAAACTAACATTACTTAGTGGTGTGAGAGGTGAAAGGATTGCTATGGTGATTAAAACATCATCCATCATGTAGTGTAAGATAATATATGATAGTGACTGGACATGAAATGAGCTGAAAACTTAATAGATATAGATTACTTCTATCTAAATTGGCTGTTCCTTGATATATTACACATCATCATCATCATCACTATCTGTACACGGCAGACAGAAAATATCCCAGTATCAACTCAACTGGTGTAGATTTACAATCTAGACATGAAACTTTGTAATAACTTCTTGTGTTAGTTACAACAGGGTTATTTTACCCCCTCTAGCTTTTAATCATAAAAAAATTTATGTTTGATTCTGCATTGGTATTGAACTTAAAATTTCCCATGATCCTTTAATTCAGACAAAAGTTTGTCAAGTTTATAAGAGCTGTCACAGGGACAGCATGCTTTAATACAATGTATTCTCAGTGACTGATAAAGAAAAATAAAGTTATGTCTTTCATGGAAGAATAAATAACACAGTAACAGTTACCTGCTGTACAAATCAGAATTTTTATAACCAAGAAGAATAAGCTTTAATGTCAGAGGAATAGTTTCCTGACACGGAGTATTTTAAGTTCACATAGAAAAAACAATTCTGTTACATTCCATTCTGTAGTTACAGGTATTGTTCAGAGACATATAATATGACCCTTTTGACATGTGGAAAGTTTGAAGTAAGTAAATTTAACAGTTAAATGAAAAATAAAATAGCCTATTTACTAAAAGTTACATCAATACCTAGTGAACAATATCTCCCCTATTTTTTAATTAGGAAAGTTATAAAAAATACTGCAAGTGAAATAACATAAACAGTGCTGTCTGACAAATTATCTTGAATAAAGTACAGTACAGCTCAAGCAATTTTTCCAAAGTCCGCCGATCCCCGCGATTTGTTTATGGGTGGACTGTCACCGCGATGTCCCTGCGATAGTTGTGACTTTCCGCTTGTCCACTCGATCGGGGGAAGTTTGCGCTGCGGGATATTGTCACCGTGGATCACTGTGAAATATTGCAGCGGTATTTCGCTCTCTCGGGTGACCATTAGTTTATTTATAACACGGGGACATTTATTACTATTACTGTATGTCTGTAAAATATAATGAACTCAAACACATTTTTTATAGAAGAAAATCTTTATGTTATGTATTTAAACGACGTAACACCTGTCGTATGCAAATAATTACAAAATTTAATGATTTGCGTGTGAAATTAAAACCCTAATATGTAGTAACTTTTAATATAATTAATTTCAACTGCTTTAAGCCATTTTAACCTTTCTGATTTTACAGTGCTACAATCATATAAGAATTTTCAATTACATGTATTTCTTTGATCCATTTAAACAATTTTTTCTGTTAAATTTACGTGTGTTAATTACCTTTCCTCCAAATATTGACTAGAACTAAAGATTAAGTGGGTCATAGCATATAATACACACAAATTTACTTTTGAACTAAACATTTCTCTATTTTAAATATTTAATGTCGCATTTACGGTTATGATCTGAAAAAAAGATGTAACAAATATGTTTATTTCATCATGGTCACAGATCTAAATTTTTAGATAGGGCATACCGTGGACTACTGTAGTTGTATAATAAGTAATGAGATAGATTCTAATTTATTTCTACGACACTCACCTCACCATTATGGAGAAGTAATTCTCGCCTTCTTAATTGCATTTTCCCATCACGGTCATATTTAACGACAAAAAAATGTGGCTTTTGATGAGTCATTGACATCTTGCAAAGTTTACGTAAAAACATATGTTAAGGAAAGGTTTGTTAAACTATTATATATAATTACGTACATGAACTAGTCCACAGCTGCACTATTAGGTGTATGTGCTAATTGCTTAATTTTTGTAGGTGAAAATTGCTTAATTAAGTGGACTTGAGCAAAGAATAAATAAATTAGTTCCTTGATTGGATTTAACACCTTCTTAAGATTGGTCGCTATTAAATGTAAATGTATATTATATAATAAGTGGCGTTTATTGTTTCCAGTATGAATAGAATTTCTAAAAAAAAAAATTTTTTAAATGTTCTAGCTATCCTTTCAACTTTTTACACAGAAATGTCACAGCATTTAGTTTTCTTGAAAGTGTTGACCGATTTTGTTAATAATTTGTTATTCCGTTTTCTTGAAACTTTTTTCATTGAACTGTTTTGTGATGTGATTTTCCCCGGTAAATGTACATTAATATCGCCGAGCTAATTAAATAATTTTATTGAATGATTAAAATCATCAGTCACATTGTAAGTCTTTTTGATTTTTTAAAAGAAGACTACGTTGTACATTTATATGAACATTTACGTGTATATGCAAATTAATCACTGCAAATCTCTGTGATTTTCCACCGCAGATTGCAGGGTTTTTTTACTACCCGTCCGCAGTGATTTGTCACCGTGGCATACTATAGTATGCCCCCCGCGATTTTCTGTTCGCCGTTAAAAGTGTCCGCGGTGACTGAGTGGAAAGAGGAAAAATTGCTTGAGCTGTACTGTACTATCAAACACGCGCTAGTGTTAATCATAGACAATAAATTCACCACCACAATCACAGATAAGTTAATATGTTAAATTAATCCATGACAGGTACTTAGTATAATTTTATGAGGAAATATGATTTTGAATGACAACATATTAATATAACATACTATACCTGATTTTGATTGACAGCTTGTACCATCTGTTGCTGCACAGACAACGAACCTTCATCATAGGAATGTACAGACTTATTGTCCGTCTCTAAATCTCTCGGCTGAAATTACATAACACTCATTTACTGACAAGCTTCAATATACAGGAGAAAAGGTTTAAATCTACAGAGACATTTTATTTTTGAATCAACAAAACTATCCTTTCTATCACTAGAACATGAACACTATTTTAGGGGAGAGATGGGGGGTTTACGTTACATCAACACAGTATAGGTCATATGGTAACTACCTAGCTTTACTGGTGGAAGAAGACCTCAGGTGCCCCTTTGTGCATTATTTTAGGCATGAGCTAGCACCCAAGTAAAACTACCAACATTCTGCATTCTGCTAGCTACATGTTTCTTTGCATTGAAAAGAATTCAAAGTCCCTGGAAGGATTTGAACCTACACAGATGAGTGGCAAGTGGTTTGAAGACAACGACCTTAATCACTTGGCCATGGATGCCCCTATTTCAATTAGATAAATCCCCTCCCGAAACAAAAGCATTGTACATTGAAGGTATTTTCTAACAAACACACTATTAGATATGGCAAGAATTACCAATGTATACAATCCTGCAATATCACATAAGCCTTTTTGTCTTACTTGAAGATAAAACTAAGCTAGACATTGTTATGTGTATTGTTTCTAATAGTCACTAAGTATATGTAAAACTAATATTCAATACTTACACAAGCTGGATCAGTCAGACTTTGAATGACAAATCGTACAGGATTACTAGCATGACGTATAGTGTCTACAGCCTGATCATGGGTCGCATTTCGTAGATCTTTCCCATCAACCTGTAACAACATTATCATTTATATCATTGCCAGTCATTATTTCTGTCTCATTAAAAAATCATCAACAAAAAAACAATAAAGAAACATAGCATAACTAATCATCACCTATCATAAGTTATAAATATTCAGAAAAATCTTTTAATTTATCAACTGCATCTTTCTGGTAATGACTCTTTGGTATGGCCCTTATCAGACAACGAGCCTTTTGACCCTTGATCCACTTAACTAATAATGTGCACATTGCCATTATGCCCCACAAGCATACAAGTCATATCACCATTATGCCCCACAAGCATGGAGAGTCAATATCACCATTATGCCCCACTAGCATACAAGTCAATATCACCAATATGCCCCACTAGCATGGAGAGTCAATATCACCAGTATGCCCCAATAGCATGGAGAGTCAATATCACCAATATGCCACACAAGCATGGAGAGTCAATATCACCATTATGCCCCACTAGCATACAAGTCAATATCACAAATATGCCCCACTTGCATGGACAGTCATTATCACCAGTTTGCCCCTTTAGCATGGAGAGTCAATAACACCAATATGCCACACAAGCATGGAGAGTCAATATCACCATTATGCCCCACTAGCATACAAGTCAATATCACCATTATGCCCCACAAGCATGGAGAGTCAATATCACCAGTATGCCCCACTAGCATACAAGTCAATATCACCAATATGCCCACAAGCATGGAAAGTCAATATCACCAGTATGCCCCACTAGCATACAAGTCAATATCACCAGTATGCCCCACTAGCATGAAGAGTCAATATCACCAGTATGCCCCACAAGCATGGAGAGTCAATATCACCAATATGCCCAACTAGCATGGAGAGTCAATATCACCATTATGCCCCACAAGCATGGAGAGTCAATATCACCAGTAAGCCCCACTAGCATGGAGAGTCAATATCACCAATATGCCCTACAAGCATGGAGAGTCAGTATCACCATTATGCCCCACTAGCATACAAGTCAATATCACCATTATGCCCAACAGAGTCAACATCATAAGACAAGTATATCCCGTTATCATACAGTAAATATCAACTGTATGCCCCACTTACATACATACAGTTAACAATAGTAAAAACTTTCATTTGTATGCTATCAGTACCTGTAAAATGCGATCTCCAGTTTTCAAGGTGCCATTCCTGCCTGCAGGACTGTCCTCTAAAACATGTTTGATAAATATTCCTGAGATCATGTGCTCCTCCGTTACATGGAACATATCAACCCGACCTCCTGTAATATACATACATCAAAATTATTGCCATTACTTTAATAGAGGTTCCTAGGCAGGATGTGCCCCAACTGGAACACATACATTGTACTATATGACATCCTAAAGCTCTCTGTACTGAGTGAATGAGTTAAACATGCAGGAACCCACATATTAACTTATATCTATATATTTGTTCATAAACAATAATAGAAATGTGAATATCAAAATTGCCTTTTTTATATATAATTTTTGTCTTATACAATGTATATCCATGCTTGAAACTATACCACTCTTATCAGATAAACAGGATAAAAGACATTGTAGTTAAATCAGAGAAATTACATTAAGGAAGACCCTTTACTCAAAATAAACACATAATTTTTTTCATTATTAAAATAAATAAAAGGAAACAAGTAATTCTAAACAATTTTCTTCACTCAAAAATATAAGATGATGCAATTCATCTAAAAGCATCTATATCCGTTTTAATTTTTGTATCTTAGTTGATTTGATGTAAACCACTAACCAACAATGCTGATGCCTAAAGTTTTGCCTGGTTCCCTGTGCAACTCTACTAATCTTGGTGGTCCCCAGGTTTGATTCCCAGACCCAACTACCACAGTCTCCTTCTGTCTAGGTGATGCTTGAGGTGTAATAGATTTGGGGCTTGCACTTGAAGGTGAGGCAGTTTTTCTTGGTGATGATAAGGGTGAGGAAGGGTTGCTACCATCTGATAAACTTGAACGCTTAGTGACTGGACTCAAGGTGGATCTGCAACAATATATAAAGATAATTACATCTTAACCGCATGTCTTTCTCAGTTAATATTTATGAAAAATGCTTCAAATTAAATCAAGATATTTTGCATCAAGTTAATCGACCTTGAATATGTATCACATTTTTGAACATCCATAGATTGTCAAAGATAATAATTCACTTAGAAAATTATTGAAATTCTCAATTAAGATATTGTTTTTTTTTTAATGTTCATCATGCTAGTATAATTTCAAATATAGATAATTATTTATTTATTCAGTTGCATACAGAAATTATCTATGCTAATTCCACACAGGAACATGCAAACACAATACTATAATATAAACATGCAGACAGAAATCTAAAAATCTTAAATTATTGATCAGGCCTCCTTTATTATTTTTTTTTTTAAACAGTGACTACAACAAATTGTGTCACTGGACTCTACCATATTGGGCGTGTCTCAGTTTAGTTTGCTCATCTAAACAAGAGGGCCATGATGGCCCTGAGGTCGCTCACCTGTATATAGGCCCCCCAACCCCCCCCCCACGTTGCAGAGCCAATTTAACCCAAGAGCTTTTATTTGCACAAACTTGGTAGACACCCATAAGATGTTTCATGCTAAACATTTAAGCTCTAGCTCATTGGGCTTTTTAAAAGAAGATTTTTTTAAAGTTTTTACTATACACATATAGTTAAAAACAATGACACCCCTGGGGCAGGGCCAGTTTTGACCCCAGGGCTTTTATTTGAACAAACTTTGTAGACACTTACTAGAAGATGTTTCATGCTTAATATCTAAAACTCTAGCTATTTGGTTTTTTCAAAGAAGATTTAAAGTTTTTGCCAAACACATATAAAGAAAATCAATGACCCCCGGGGCGGGGCAATTTTGACCCCTGGGCTTGTATTTGAACAAACTTGGTAGACACCTATTAGAACATGTTTGATGCTCAATATCTTAGCCATAGCTCTTTGAGTTCTTTAAAAAGAAGATTTTTTAAGTTTTTACTATATGCATATAGGGAAAATCAATGACCCCCCCGGGCGGGCCAATTTCACCCCAGGGCTTTTATTTGAACAAACTTGGTAGACACACACTAGAAGATGTTTCATGCCAAATATCTAAGCTCTAGCTCTTTGAGTTCTTTAAAAGAAGATTTTTAAGTTTTTACTATATGCATATAGGGAAAATCAATGACCCCCGGGGCGGAGCCAATTTTCACCCTAGGGCTTTTATTTGAACAAACTTGGTAGACACCCATTAGAACATGTTTCATACTAATTATCTTAGCTCTAGCTCTTTGGGTTCTTTAAAAGAAGATTTTTTTAAGTTTTTACTATATGCATATAGGGAAAATCAATGACCCCCTGGGGCGGGGCCAATTTTGACCCCAGGGCTTTTATTTGAACAAACTTGGTAGACACTCACTAGAAGATGTTTCATGCCAAATATCTAAGCTCTAGCTCTTTGAGTTCTTTAAAGAAGATTTTTTAAGTTTTTACTATATGCATATAGGGAAAATCAATGACCCCCGGGGCGGGCCAATTTTCACCCCAGGGCTTTTATTTGAACAAAACTTGGTAAACACCCATTAGAACATGTTTCATGCTAAATATCTTAGCTCTAGCTCTTTGGGTTCTTTAAAAGAAGATTTTTTTAAGTTTTTACTATATGCATATAGGGAAAATCAATGACCCCCCGGGGCGGGGCCAATTTTGACCCCAGGGCTTTTATTTGAACAAACTTGGTAGACACTCACTAGAAGATGTTTCATGCTAAATATCTAAGCTCTAGCTCTTATGGTTTTTTAAAAGAAGATATTTAAAGTTTTTTCTTTCGGTTGCCATGGCAACCAGAGTTTTGCATGGAATTAAATTCTTTGAACAATTTTAAAAGGTGACCACCAAAGGAACATTCCTGTGAAGTTTGGATGAAATTGGCTTAGTGGTTTATGAGGAGATGTCATTTAAAGTAAAAGTTTACGGACGGACGGACGGACGACGGACGGACGGACGCCGGACGAAAAGCGATCACAAAAGCTCACCCTGTCACTTTGTGACAGGTGAGCTAAAAACACCACTTTACTTATACTCAAAACAAGAGTGCTCATTGTTTGTGACTCATACTTTTTCAAAAACAGCTTCACCTTTATAAGGAAAAAAGTTCAAATGTCACCATATGAATCATAGTGGCTTAATACTATATAAAATGGATCAGTAACATCATACATAATGGGACAAGATTTGCTACAATAATTATGGTCATCATATTATCAGAGTATTGTTCAAGATGTAGTAAAACTATATAAAATTAAAGAGGGACACAATTTCCCATACTTCAATAAGCTGACTGATATCTTTCATAAAATACTGACATTACATGAAAATCCAAGCAGTAGCATTCATATCTTTTTTCATTTGTATATCATTCATGAGCTTATTTTCACTCAATTAATATTACTCTTCATATTCCATAATTTGTTTAAACAACAGTACTATGGTAGTACCAAGTCATTTCATTATCATGAAATTTTCTCACAAAAACAAAGGGGTGTAATGAAGACAGTAATAAAATTGAAGCTGTTGCATGACTGAAATAAATGACAAAACAACAATATATAAATCATTCAAGGGTAGAACTGCAAAATAAAAGAGAAAGCTAGAAAAGTGTATAGACATTGCTTATAGTAAGCCTTCTAGTGCAAATATCATCACATTCTTACCGATAATACTTTGGAAATATCCTAGTAGCAAAAACAAAACATCATTTTTTAATAGGTTTTCTCAATTTCGCTTCCCACAATTCAGAAATAATTCCAGTTTTCTTGTTGTATTTCATTTTTTACAAATACGAGCTCAAAGTTTTGATTTTTGTGACAGTTTTCAAAAAAAAATTCAGTTTATAATTTAATATTTTTTTTTAATAATAAGATTTAATTTGTATAAAACTAAAATTACATGATTTATGCATCCATTTTTACTTAAGACAACACAATTATACCTATCTTAAAAACTATTTTAACAACAGTAAACAACAATGCATTATCTAATGGAGGCATACAATAAGAGGAAAAAGACATAGTTAAGAAACATTCTGTCATAAGCAAACTTATTGAACTTATTTAAAACAAAAATGCTATTTTAATTTGTTGCATGGAAATGTTATATCTATCATGCATATTTTAAAATTATATCAAAATGTCATATTTTAGACAGAGAAATACAGTTATGATAGCAGTTTAGAAAAGTTATAGAATACATATCAGAATGTGCTTCATCCTCAACATTAGAATTGTATAGTTACTAAATGGTGCAACTTAATTCAGCAGAACAAAAAATGTTTACAACAAATGAATAATTGTGTCCATCGGATATATATCATGAGCACAGGCATTAATATTGTGTGACAGACAAAAAAAGATCCTCTTAACTTTTGATCTAAGAGGTACAGACGTGGGTCATACATATGACCCAATGTATGACCCATAGTCTCATGATGGCAAACTAGTCTAAATCCAAGTAACTACATGATTATGAAATTGCACATGATTTGGTAGCACAGATTCATAAACAGGGGGAACACTTTAATTCTACTTTATTATCATGGCATTTCTTTATCCATGTTATAATAACATAATTATGTTAATATATAACTTTTTATGTACAACTTTTCATATATCTATATACAATATCCTCACAATGAAATATTTCCATGACAACACAATAAAACTGTTACTTACTTTGGTGAAGGCATCATGGTTGGAGTTGAAGGACTCTCCACTGGTCTATTGGCCACGGCCTCTTTATGTGCAGCACCATCAGCAGCAGTTACATAGCTTATACTAAAATTGTAACAAAATGTGTCATGTAGGTTACTGTTGGTAAATTTGTAACATAAATATGTCATGTAGGTTACTGTTGGTAAAATTGTAACATGAATATGTCATGTAGGTTACTGTTGGTAAATTTGTAACATAAATATGTCATGTAGGTTACTGTTGGTAAATTTGTAACATAAATAAGTCATGTAGGTTACTGTTGGTAACATTGTAACATAACTGTGCCATGTAGTGTTGGTAAAATTGTAACATAAATGTATCATGTCGGTTTATTCTTGCTAAAATTGTAACATAAATGTGTTGTGTAGATTACTGTTGCTAAAATTATAACATAAAATGTGTCAAGTAGGTTACTGTTGGTAAAACTGTAACATAAATGTGTTGTGTAAATTACTGTTAGTAAAATTGTAACATAAATGTGTCGTGTAGTTTACTGTTGGTAAAATTGTAACATAAATGTGTCCCGTAGGAAACTGTTGGTAAAAATGTAACATAAATGTGTTGTGTAGGTTACGTTTGGTAAAACTGTGACATAAATGTGTTGTGTAGATTACTGTTGGTATAATTGTAACATAAATGTGTTGTGTAGGTTACTGTTGGTAAATTTGTAACATAAATATGTCATGTAGGTTACTGTTGGTCAAATTGTAACATAAAATGTGTTAAGTAGGTCACTGTTGGTAAAATTGACAATGAATGTGTTGTGTAAATTACTGTTTGTGAAATTGTAACATAAATGTGTAATGTAGTTTACTGTTGGTAAAATTGTAACATAAATGTGTCCTGTAGGTAACTGTTGGTAAAATTGTAACATAAATGTGTCATGTAGGTTACTGTTGGTAAAATTGTAACATAAAATGTGTTAAGTAGGTCACTGTTGGTAAAATTGAAACATGAATGTGTTGTGTAAATTACTGTTTGTGAAATTGTAACATAAATGTGTCATGTAGGTTACTCTTGGTAAAATTGTAACATATATGTTTTATGTCTGTTACTGTTTGTAAAATTGTAACATAAATTTGTCGTGTAAATTACTGTTTGTGAAACATCATGTAGGTAACTCTTGGTAAAATTGTAACGCATATGTTTTATGTCATTTACTGTTGGTAAAATTGTAACAAAGAAGATTGCATTTGAGAAAAATGCTATGCCACCGCATTAATCCTTGTACCTTTAGACAATAAGATTTTTTGATTTTTTTACTATATGTTTATATTGAAAATCAATGACCCCCGGGGCAAAGGCAATTTTGACCCCATTGTTATAATTTAAACAATCTTGCTAGAAGTTCATTTCATAATGTTTCATGCAAAATATCTAACCTCTAGCATTTGTCAATTACTAGAAGAAATTTTTTTAAAGTTTTTACTACAAGTCATGTTTAAGTTTTTTTTCCTATATACATATAAGGAAAACCAATGACCCCGGGGCGGGGCCGATTCTGATCCAGGGCTATAATTTGAATAATCTTGGTAGAGGTCTACCAGACAATGCCTTATGCAAAATATCTAAGCTCTAGGCCTTTTGGGTCTTTACAAGAAGGTATTTTAAGTTTTTACTATATGTACATATAGTGAAAATCAATGACCCCCGGGGCGGGGCCGATTTTGACCCCAGGGCTATAATTTGAACAATCATGGTAATGGTCTACCAGACAATGCCTTATGCAAAATATCTAAGCCCTAGGCCTTTTGGGTCTTTACAAGAAGGTATTTTAAGGTTTTGCTATATGTACATATAGTGAAAATCAATGACCCCCGGGGCGGGGCCGATTTTGACCCCAGGGCTATAATTTGAACAATCTTGGTAGAGGTCTACAAGACAATGCCTTATGCAAAATATCTAAGCTCTAGGCCTTTTGGTTCTTTACAAGAAGATTTCTTAAATTTATCTTATAATTCCTTTTGGTTGCCATGGCAACCAGATTTCTGCATGGAATGAAATTCTTTCAACAACTTTTGAAGCCTTTCACCCAAGGATCAATCCTGCCAAGTTTGGTTGAAATTGGACTAGTGGTTTTTCACAAGAAGATTTTTTAAGTTCACTATATAATCTATATAACACACACACACACACACACACACGCACACACAAACAAACACACACACAGGTGAATCGCTATATGCCACCGCATCGCAGATGCTGCGGTGGCATAAAAATATGTTGTGTAGGTTACTGTTGGTAAAGTTGTAACATATATGTGTCATGTAAATTACTGTTGGTGAAATTGTAACATAAATGTGTCATGTAGGTTACTCTTGGTAAAATTGTTATGTATATGTTTTATGTCAGTTACTGTTGGCAAAATTGTAACATAAATGTGTTGTGTAGGTTTATTCTTGCTAAAATTGTAACATAAATGTGTTGTGTAGGTAACTGTTGGTAAATTGTAAAATAAAATGTGTTGTGTAGGTTACTGTTGGTAAAATTGTAACATAAATATGTTGTGTAAGTTACTGTTGGTAAAATTGTAACATAAATATGAAAAGTATGTTACTGCTACTTACATTGAAACATTTAAGTTGTTTCAAGTATGTAACCATTGCTAAAAACATTTCAGCTATGGAAGTAATGATATATTTTAAGTTGCAGCTTTGTTTTTTAAAAAGTTTAAGTTATTTCAATAAAAGATGTTAAAATGTCACCTAATATCAGCACTTCCCATCAATGAGGCTCTTCTCAGTATGACTCTGGCCTGGGTGTTCGTGATACGCCTCATACTTTCGTTGTTGATTGACATGATATAATCACCAACTTGAATCCGTCCGTCTTTAAAGATAGCACCGGTTTTTGTAAGAGATTTAACAACACAACCATTGACACCCTTGTCTGTTGCCTCAACTGTCATACCTGAATACAACATACATTTACATCAGATAAGATTTTTTACTTATTCTGGGAATGTAATTGCCTTAAAAGATTTGATAAAACAAACATCGATTTACAAAAAATTAAAAGGCAAAACACTGCGTCCGGATCAAACTGAAAAACTAAAACTTACAATAGAGAGAAATAGAATCCCTAAAGAAATTCCAAAACAGCAAAATTGTAAATGTTGCAGGCTTGGTTTAATTGAGCCTGTTCATGGACAGTACTGGAAAGTGCAAGCTACTGTCCACAACACTTTAAACTAATAAGCCCTGAGAATAAATTCACTGGACAAGTCGCTGGCACAACTTGAGAATAAATAACAATAAGTAACATTTTTATTTTAATCTTAATTAACAAACCAATCTTTATTCAATAAGATTCCACTTAAATTCCCTATATATGACATAAATATCACCATCTACATGTACATTCAAGCACCTGTGTAATAAGGCTATTGAATACTGTGCAGGGAGAGGACTTGGTAAATTATATTTTTGGAAAATAGAGGAACATTATGGTGATAGGCTTTACCTTGGCAGGTCTTTTTAAAAAAAATAATATACCTTTGAAAAAGTTTCCACATTTTCTCTCATTAAGAGATATGAAATCTTTTTTTCTGAAAGTTGCTTTTCATTATCTAGGGAGGGAATGATGGAATATTGGTGGTTAATAACATATTTAATTAATATTTCAGCTAAAATGACATATGTGTAAGGAAAGAAATACTCTTACATAGTAATATGTAGCTATGGCTGTGGGGACATGAAAATTATATGCAGATTTCAGGTAGAATTTATTCAGGAAATTGCATTGGGTTGTATAACAATTTGTCAAATACAATTTACTTACTGTATCCTAAAGATGCTAAAGACACACATATAAACATTTGCAAATATATAATGAAAACAATTAATTTCTGTTGAAAAATCATTAATTTACATTTCATATTGACTCAAGTTTTGTGCAATTTTAATACAGCGTTATTAAAGATATCGCATGTAGTTCAAGGTCAAATATTTCTCCTATTTTAAAGCAAGGGTACTGAGAATGACCGATGGCCGAACAGAGCCAGATATCAGATCAATCATTAATTTTCTAATTTGTCAGTAAGCACAACAATTCCTTTCATGTTTGCCTTTCCAATAACAAAAAAAAACCTTTCAAATACCTTACAAATCAATATTGATTTATGAGGTATTTGAAAGTTTGTTTTACACAGAACTCAATACTACCAGCATTCTGTGATAACTTATTAATGCACTATTTTATGTTCATTATCAACATAGAATATACACAAAAATTTACCAAGATTATTTTGAGATCTTTTGAGAGTAATTCTTTTCTCAAGTGAAGGTGGGAATGCATCGGGGCCGGAGAATGAGCGCATCAGACTGGGTGAAGTTATAGGAGAGATGCCAGGTGAAGCTGTCCTTGGTGTTGATGATGATGAGGCAGATACAGTCTAATCAGAAAATAAAACAAGTCATATATTAAATCTTAATGTGTTTAAATGGTGAAATACACTTGCACTGATTTAAATTCTGACTTACTTTAAATTTAAAGTTGAGGCATTGCTGAGTGGTTAACACATCTGACAAGTAATCTTAAGATCTCTTCCTGCTTGGGTTTCAACCCTGTCAGTGGTAAGCCATTTTTTCATTAAGCAAGAAAATTTACACTCATTGCTTAGTACAAGTTGGTTCTAGGATAAGAGAGTGTATCAATAGGCCTATAGCATCCTACATAATCAAACTTATGTATAAACTAAATAAATTTTGCTATCAAAATTGTATAAGGCAGCCAACAGTATAGAATCAGGTCTGATGTCTTGTATATCAAACCTTTATAGGTTGACAAATGAAACTTTTGTTTTCTTTTCTAGCACAAGATTGGAAAATGCAAATGACAAAAATAATAAAGTTAGATGTAAACATACCTTAAGGTCACTTGTGTTGAACTGGTCAGATGAAAATGAGCTGTCCATTGGGTCGTTTCTGTGGTCACTGGTATTTAATTGGTCAGTGGTATTGGAATGGTCACTAAAAGGTATGTTCTCTACGCTAGTATTGGTGGTAACTTTAATAATGTCCGAATGTCCTGGAGAAGTCTGTGACTATAAAAAATATACATCATACAAATTAATACAAAGAATCAAATATTTAGTGCAGATTCTAATCATAAAATTAAGGAAAGAAAAGAAAGAAAAGTTTGTTTGAGGGTCATTTTGAGACAAAGCAGGTTATTACGGTTATTTAAAAAGATTATAAGAAATAGAGAAAGGGTGTAAGAAGCTTGTTTCTAAAATAAATGCGAGCAAATAAGACATAAAGGTGATATTGTATACCTCCATGGTGTACGATAACAAAAACATTATTACTTATTATTATTTATATATATAAAGTGTAAGCATACTGACAGACATAAATTAAAGCAATTAGAATTGTATGTTTTATTCTTACCAATTTTACAATATACTTTTTGTACTCGTACATTCATGAACAAAATGAAATGGTTTTTTTTTTTTAAAAAACTTGCATAAGAAAAGTTTACAAGAAAAGCATTGGATTTTTATAAAAAGGATTTAGTGCAGGAATTTCCAGTATCTATTAATAAAAGATATTAAAAAAACAAGATAAAATTCTGTTTTCCTTTTTCTATTTACATGAAAATAATTTGTAAATATTAACAACTATCTAGCAGTGGATATTGCACGGTCAGTAATGGAAGGTAACTTAATAGAATATATACAGAAAACACTTGGTTACATATTTATGGGATTGTCCCTGATTGTCATGTTAAACTGTACAGTGGCTAGAGTAATCATGTAACACAGACATGTATCTCAAATATAACAAATACTTAACTTACCACGCCATTAACTAATTGTATAATATTGTTTCCAATTTCATGTCAGAACAAAAATATTTCAGCTAACCCTTCTCCAACTAGCTTACAGTACATTCAACATATTTATAGAAAACCTAGAAAATTTTAGTCTCATAACAAAATAATCTATTTCAATAAGCAATTTAAAATCTAACATCAATTTCCCCCTCTATCTCTTTTATTGTTATAACTAAATCTAAAGCATGTAAAGGCAGCCTCCTAACTAAATTAAAGTAACACTTTTATAAGGTTTTAACAACTTATAAACTGTAACAAATCATACAATATCTCCTTAATCTACCTTGAATAGTAACAAATGGTCATCTTGTTTATAAGGTAGTCAGGATTTAGCTGCATGTCCAAGCCTAAACAATGACAGCACTAAGACCTTTTTATTCTACTCAACACCAGTGCTATGACATTTTTACCATGTACAATGCCAGCACTATGACCTTTTAATTCTATACAATACCAGCAATTTGACCTTTTAATTCTATACAATGCCAGCAATTTGACCTTTTAATTCTATACAATGCCAGCAATTTGACCTTTTAATTCTATACAATACCAGCAATTTGACCTTTTAATTCTATACAATGCCAGCAATTTGACCTTTTAATTCTATACAATACCAGCAATTTGACCTTTTAATTCTATACAATACCAGCAATTTGACCTTTTAATTCTATACAATGCCAGCAATTTGACCTTTTAATTCTATACAATACCAGCAATTTGACCTTTTAATTCTATACAATACCAGCAATTTGACCTTTTAATTCTATACAATGCCAGCACCATGACCTTTTTATTCTATACAATACCAGCACTTTGACCTTTTAATTCTATACAATACCAGCAATTTGACCTTTTAATTCTATACAATACCAGCAATTTGACCTTTTAATTCTATACAATACCAGCAATTTGACCTTTTAATTCTATACAATACCAGCACTTTGACCTTTTAATTCTATACAATACCAGCACTTTGACCTTTTAATTCTATACAATACCAGCAATTTAACCTTTTAATTCTATACAATACCAGCATTTTGACCTTTTAATTCTATACAATACCAGCAATTTGACCTTTTAATTCTATTCAATGCCAGCACCATGACCTTTTTATTCTATACAATACCAGCAATTTGACCTTTTAATTCTATTCAATGCCAGCACCATGACCTTTTTTATTCTATACAATACCAGCACTTTGACCTTTTAATTCTATACAATACCAGCAATTTGACCTTTTAATTCTATTCAATGCCAGCACCATGACCTTTTTTTCTATACAATACCAGCAATTTGACCTTTTAATTCTATACAATACCAGCAATTTGACCTTTTAATTCTATTCAATGCCAGCAATTTGACCTTTTTATTCTATACAATACCAGCAATTTGACCTTTTAATTCTATACAATACCAGCACTTTGACCTTTTAATTCTATTCAATGCCAGCAATTTGACCTTTTTATTCTATTCAATGCCAGCACCATGACCTTTTTATTCTATACAATACCAGCACTTTGACCTTTTAATTCTATACAATACCAGCAATTTGACCTTTTAATTCTATACAATACCAGCAATTTGACCTTTTAATTCTATACAATACCAGCACTTTGACCTTTTAATTCTATACAATACCAGCAATTTGACCTTTTAATTCTATACAATACCAGCAATTTGACCTTTTAATTCTATACAATACCAGCACTTTGACCTTTTAATTCTATACAATACCAGCACTTTGACCTTTTAATTCTATACAATGCCAGCAATTTGACCTTTTAAATTCTATACAATACCAGCAATTTGACCTTTTAATTCTATTCAATGCCAGCAATTTGACCTTTTTATTCTATTCAATGCCAGCAATTTGGACCTTTTAATACTGACAGACAATTCTAAAATTAAAGCAATTTAGAATTCTATACAATACCAGTATTTTTTTTTTAATTTTAATTTTACAATATACTTTTGTACTCGTATATGAACAAAAATACCAAGCAGTTTACAAAAAAAGCATTGACCTTTTATAAATAAGGATTTAGTGCAGACCCTTTATCTATTAATAAAAGATATTAAAAAAACAAGATAAAATTCTGTTTTCCTTTTTATTTACATGAAAATAATTTGTAATATTAATTTTACTATCTAGCAGTACGGTCAGTAATGGAAGGTAACTTAATACAATATATACAGGAAAAAACCACTTGGTTAATATTTATACAATACATTGTCCCTGTTGTCATGTTTAACTGAATGGCTAGATATCAATGTAACACAGCAAGTATTCAAACTTTTATATCAATACTTAACCACACCCATTAACTTATTGTATAATATTGTTCCATTTCATGTCAGAACAATATCAGCTTACCCTTCTCCAATCTAGTACATACATTCAGACAAATTATAGAAAACCTAAAATTTATCTCATACAAAATAATCTATTTCAATCAAGCATTTAAATCTACATCAATTTCCCCCTCTATCGCTTTTATTCTATACTAAATCTAGCAATGTTAAGAGCCTCCTAACTAATAATTTAATAAGTTATAACAATTATAACTGTTAAAATCATACAATATCTCACTTATACCTTGTAATAAATGTCACTTGTTATAAGGTAGTCAGGATTTAGCTGCATGTCCAAGCCTAAACAATGCCAGCACCATGACCTTTTTATTCTACTCAACACCAGTGCTATGACATTTTTACTGAGAACAATGCCAGTAATATGACCTTTAAATTCTATACAATACCAGCAATTTGACCTTTTAATTCTATTCAATGCCAATTTGACCTTTTAATTCTATACAATACCAGCAATTTGACCTTTTTATTCTATTCAATGCCAGTGCTATGACATTTTTACCCTTGTACAGTACTATGACCTATTTATCTTATAATTAACTTTAAGGAATGCAAAATAAGCATGTAAGCTTTTCATTAAATTTAAGCTCAAATAAATAAATAAATTCATAAACTGATTTTCTTTTCTCTAGAATAATATCGGGAAGCTCTTTAATTCATTCAAATATCTGTTTGTTAAACAACCTACATCCTCTTTTTCACAGTCGAATATCTACATTATAAATATGTTAAAATATGTACACATTATTAACAAGATTCTCATATTTTACATAAATAAAAATTATCATAGAAAAGCTATAAAACAGCCAGTTATAAAGCTAAAATAAATCTAGATTTTACGATAAACCCTAAACAAATCTGATATGCTTTATTATAAAAATTCCTCAAACATAGAAAAATTTGAAAATTTGTCATTACTTTAAGATACAATTAAAGAGGAGGTAAACAGTGGAACATATAAAGGATAGACCTTATTATGTGAACTTACCATTTCAATCCATTCTAACAGATCCTAGAAATATCACAGGACTAAAGGCTTACATATACAAGCAAACTTCTCTAATTCAATTTTTCCAGAGAAACTCTATTACATCTTTCTCAAAATAAATTTGTTTTTGGAGGTGTTGCCTTAACGTGCCAGTTCAATACATGTCAGATGAAAAAAAATGAACATTTCTAAATTATAGTAAGCCAGTTACTGACTTTTTCAGAGGAAATTTTCCTCCTTTGGGAATACGGAACAATCAAATTTGTTGCAATACTGAAATTTTAAACTTAAAGTTAAAACCAACTTTGTTTGAATTGCATAATAACAAAGTCTAAATTCCAGAGAAAAGGTTTTCTGCAGTAATTGTGTTAAATCAACATTGTGTGCATTTATAAGCAATAAAATTCCTCAGTTGGTCTACACACTTCAATACAACAAAGCTGTTTATAAACAAAGATATGAAACAAGCAGACAAAGATTGTAGAAAGAGGCAAATGATCTGAAGTGTTGACAGAGTTTCTGTTTATAAACATGTAAGCAAAGGGTCTAACAATGATTATACTGACAGCAGAATACTGTGAATCTATCACCACCCTTTACTGGCATTTTATTTACAGAAAAACAAAATAGCAAATTGTTTCATTTAAGTAAACTGTCTTATTTCTTTTAACTGATAATTTTCTTATACTGCAAGAAAAAGTAAAATTTACAACTGGAAAATTAATATAAAATTATAATTTAACTAAATACAAGTAAAACTATTTTCATGTCATCAGTTTACCTTCGTTTCTTCATCTTTATTCAGCAATGGAGGTGGGGACGAAACTGGCAATGGGGGAGGCTCCTCCTGCAATACAACCAATCAGAGTGAATGTTACAATTACATCAACCAATCAGATGTGCTGTTTCATATTAAAATTACATTTAGTTTCATGCAGACAATGCCATGCCAATTTATGACAATAATCAATCCAGTTATTACAACACGATTACAGAAATAAACTAAAAACAATTATCATAAAATTATATTAAATCACATCATGTTATCATTAAAAACAAACTAGAAATGAAATTTATATATCAAATCCTGTTAAGAATTATATTGAATGTACAATAGAAGATTTTAGTACATTAAAGCTTTATTAGAGAATACAATAATAATGTAGTAAGTAAAAGGTGCATTTCTAGGATATACTATATCCCTATATAAACTTGTTCTTTAGATTCATCAAGTAACAACAGTGCTAAGCAAAAACATCTGTTCTGCTGCACTATAAAATGATGTTTGTCCAAATAAAAAAAAAAAATGAAATCAGTTAAATTTGACAACAATGCTTTGACTATTATTGTCAATCCTACAATGTGATAATCTATATATTGTGATTTGTTAAAGTGCTTTTTCTGTACTAAAAGTTGAGAACATCTGTGAACATTGTGGTGCAGCTGTTTTCCAGAAACAGAAAGCATTTGCTGGTGTACAACAATTTTCTTTATCTGGTGAACACAAAAGAACAAGGACTTTTATTTAACTTGTTAGAGGACAGTTTCCTTATAAAAAGATTATTAATAAAATTAATAATATCACATGCTCATATAAGTATGAGTTAGTTATATTATTTACAGTTATGTTAACAGAGTGAAATAACAAAATTTAAATTATTATTACTTGCATAGAAAGAACGTCTGATAAATAAAATGTAGTAATCTATATTAGTGAAATAGTACACAAATTAATAGTAATATGTTAGTAAAGAATAACGAGAAATTATATAGATTCTGTGATGTGAAGAAATTATTTAATAAGTTAATGATAAGGGAGTGTAACGGAACAGATCATTTAACCCATTACCCCATGAGCATTTTGTGAAAAATGGCTGTTTTCATTGAAAAGTCTCCCGTTACAAGTTCAAGTTGCTATAAAAACTATAAAAACCGCTTCAATACTAATCAAACTTGGCACAAATGTTGACTGGACCATTGCCTTTGTAACAACATGCTCAGTTTGAAATTTCCTGTTACCATGGCAACTAGGGGCCATCTCAAAATTGCCAAAAATCACTATTTTGCGTTGATTTTTTCCATCAAAATTGATTTCAAAGTGCTGCCACTTCTCAATGGATTGAGATAGAGTCAAAGGCTTTTCAGCATTGGTTACACGTTACCTTATGATCGACCTGGGCCCATTTTTAGCCTCCCACAAGTCCAAAATTTTCGTTGGCGATGAGGGGACTCCGCCCCCCTTTCAAACCCCCAAAGTTAGAAGGGGGCACATCCCCTTCTGGCAACCCCCTGATGTAATCTTTTGGATGGGGGGGCGCGCCGAAAAGTGGTCAATTTTTTCAAACAACATTTCTCAAACAAAAACAGTGTTTGGGGGCCTAAATAAGGGCATTTTGTCACCATTTGAGGAAGCAAAAAGGGGGGGGGGGTGAAAAAGGCGTAGAAAGGCGTATATATCTGGTAATGGGTTAACATGTACAATGACAAGCGGTCGTTTCCAGAAACTTCTGTCCCCTATAACTGCACGCATTACAGGTCAAAACACAACTTAATTTTGAGATTACATGCATTTTTCAATTCAATCCCACAGAATTTCCAGTCTTCATGGTTCTTCAGGGACAGCCAAAAAATCAGTACTTCTGAGCTTTCATGTATAAAAAAAAATTCATAGCCAAATTTGATAAAGATAATTGGCAGTTAGAATACCTAAATGAAGTGATTTTTGTAACTCTCAAAAAACATATGAAATATGTTCCAAACTTTTTGAAATGTATTTTGAATGTATAATTTTAGTCAATAGCATAACTTATTATTCATTCAGTTACTAAGGAACCTCTTAACTTACAAGAAGAACAAAACAAATGAAAGCCAGAGCTGACTAGTTACTAAAAATAAAATACTACATGCATTTTATTTACACAATATGTGTTAACACAAGAAAAAAAGGTGGAATACATAACACATCTAACATAACAAAAATATGCGACTATTAATTTAATACTACATGCAAAATATTGCTTGTCCCCCTTTATTACCTGGACCTTAGTTGCCCCTATCGTATGAGGGGACAGACTGTGTTTTGGTTTTGGGGGTATAGCAGGTTTTGGGCGTGATTTTGATGCTTTTTCACTTTCTGGTGACATCTTTCTAGGTGATGGCAGGGGAGTCTTACGCTAATCAAAAACAGACAATAACACATAATGAAAGCAGACTATAAAACTTACAAACAATTGTATGATGCTAGTTATATAATAACATGTTGGAATAAACATACTTCAGTACCCCTCTAACATGGACCCCTAGAGCCATACAATATCTTCATTATAAGTATTAGTAAATTTTTTTAAACCAAATGTTGTACTTATTGACACAAGACGTACATGAAGTATACCAGCCAGCCATGTTGAATACCTTAATATTTATCTTGATGAGTCCTTTAGTAAATATTTATCTTGATGAGTCCTTTAGTAAATATTTATCTTGATGAGTCCTTTAGTAAATATTTATCTTGATGAGTCCTTTAGTAAATATTTATCTTGATGAGTCCTTTAGTAAATATTTATCTTGATGAGTCCTTTAGTAAATATTTATCTTGATGAGTCCTTTAGTAAATATTTATCTTGATGAGTCCTTTAGTAAATGATGGTTGTGTATGGAATTTGGGCGTTTTTTTATTCACAAGCCTAACAAAAGTGAACTTGTATCAGTTTTCCTGAATTATATTCCAATACTAGCTTGTTGTTGTTTTGTTTTTTAATTTGTTTTCTCTCACAGATAATTGCCTCCTTTGAACAAATTTTTAAAACCAAATGAGATCATAACTATATAAGACATGATTTTTATGCTTTATGACAGTGGATTTTATTTGATAGATTCAAAGTTCACATATATGCAGTTTTGACAAAAGTGGCTATGCCAAAAACATGTAAACAATTAAAGAGCTGGTGTTCATGTGTGTACAGTGGAAAACAATTTAACATGTATATGTAAAACTTACAATTTTTCTTTATATACTTCATACTTTTTTTTAATGTTTAAAATAGATATATTGATTTCTGACACATTCAGAGATGAGTTTTTCTTATGACATCATGAAATCATGACATTACAAATTTTATGTTGAAGATTTGGAATTTTTTGTTATATATGGGTTGGATTTTCACTCAACATAGACGTTGGGTTAACATTTTACAATTTTGGAATCGACTTGTAAATATGCCGGACGATAGGCTTCCAAAAAAAATGTTCTCCTATGACTACAATTGTTTCGGAAAAACATGGTGCTATGATGTAAAGACTATATTGCAACAAATTCAAATGTCACATTACTATGAAAACAAGTTACCTGTAAATCTAAAAGATGTTGAAGATGCATTGTTTGTTAAATATAAAACGGATTGGTGTAATAATGTTAGAAATGTTGCCAAACTTAGAACATATATTGAATTTAAACAACATTATAATACTGAAAAGTATTTGCTTTCGTCATTAACTAAGATTGAACGGTCTCATTTAGCCCAATTCCGATGTGGTATACTTCCATTAAAGATAGAAACGGGAAGATATGTCGGTTTAAATGTAAACGAAAGATTTTGTCATTTTTGTCCAGTTAATGTTGTAGAAGATGAGACTCATTTTCTTTTAAACTGCATTAAATATAATGACTTACGAGAGAACCTTTTATCAAAATGTAAAGATAGAAATCCTGATTTTGAACATATGTCTGAAGTAAATAAGTTAGTATATGCTGTCAATTATCATTATGTGCATGTGGCTAAATTTTTAGTTGAAGCTATGAACAGAAGAAGGATGTCTCTGTACAGAAATTAATTAAACAAGATATGTTTGTAAAACATGTATGCCCCCTATCAGCAGCCAATTAGTCATGTGATAAGGTTATTATGCATGACTTCTGACCCAGTGATCAGACAATTAATAAGGGTTATAAAGTATCTACTGGTCATGACCTTGACCTTTGACCTCTTGACCCAAAACTCAATAGGGGTCATCTGCTGGTCACGACCAATCATCATACAAAGTTTGAAGTTCCTAGGCCTAGGCGTTTTTAGTAAATTGATCAGAAACCGTTTTTACCTACAAGGTCAATGTGACCTTGACCTTTGACCCCTTGACCCCAAAATTCAATAGGGGTCATCTGCTGGTCATGACCAATCACCATGCCTAGGTTGAAGTTCCTAGGCCTAAGGGTTCTCTTATTATTGATCGGAAACCATTTTAACATACAAGGTCAATGTGACCTTGACCTTTGACCCCAAAATCAATAGGGGTCATCTGCTGGTCATGACAAATCACCATGCCAAGTTTGAAGTTCCTAGGCCGAAGCGTTCTTTAGTTATTGATCAGAAACCGTTTTTACTTACAAGGTCATTGTGACCTTGACCTTTGACCCCTTAATCCCTAAATCAATAGGAGTAATCTGCTGGTCATGACAAATCACCATACCAAGTTTGAAGTTCCTAGGCCTAAGTGTTCTTGAGTTATTGATCAGAAACCGTTTTTACTTTAAAGGTCAATGTGACCTTGACCTTTGACCCCTTCACCTAAAACTCAATAGGGGTCATCTGCTGGTCATGACCAATCATCACACAAAGGTTGAAGTTCCTAGGCCTAAGCGTTTTTAGTTAATTGATCGGAAACCGTTTTTACCTACAAGGTCAATGTGACCTTGACCTTTGACCCCTTGACCCCAAAATCAATAGGTCATCTGCTGGTCATGACCAATCACCATACCAAGTTTGAAGTTCCTAGGCATAAGGGTTCTTAGTTATTGATCGGAAAGCATTTTTACCTACAAGGTCAATGTGACCTTGCCTTTAACCCCTTAACCCCAAAATCAATAAGGGTCATCTGCTGGTCATGACCAATCACCATACCAAGTTTGAAGTTCCTAGGCCTAAGGGTTCTTTAGTTATTGATCGGAAACCGTTTTTACCTAAGAGGTCAATGTGACCTTGACCTTTGACCCCTTGACCCCAAAATCAATAGGGGTCATCTACTGATCATGACCAATCACCATCTCAAGTTTGAAGTCCCTAGGCCTAAGGGTTCTTTCATTATTGATCGGAAACCGTTTTTACCTACAAGGTCAATGTGACCTTGACCTTTGACCCCTTAACCCCAAAATCAATAGGGGTCATCTGATTGGTCATAACCAATCACCATACCAAGTTTGAAGTTCCTAGGCCTTAAGGTTCTTTAGTTATTGATTGGAAACCGTTTTTACCTACAACGTCAATGTGACCTTGACCTTTGACCCCTTGACCCCAAAATCAATAGGGGTCATCTACTGATCATGACCAATCACCATACCAAGTTTGAAGTTCCTAGGCCTTAAGGTTCTTTAGTTATTGATCGGAAACCGTTTTTGCTTTCAAGGTCAATGTGACCTTGGCCTTTGACCCCTTGACCCCAAAATCAATAGGGGTCATCTACTGATCATGACCAATCACCATACCAAGTTTGAAGTTCCTAGGCCTTAAGGTTCTTTAGTTATTGATCGGAAACCGTTTTTGCTCACAAGGTCAATGTGACCTTGACCTTTGACCCCTTGACCCCAAAATCAATAGGGGTCATCTACTGATCATGACCAATCACCATACCAAGTTTGAAGTTCCTAGGCCTTAAGGTTCTTTAGTTATTTGATCGGAAACCGTTTTTTGCTTTCAAGGTCAATGTGACCTTGACCTTTGACCCCTTGACCCAAAATCAATAGGTCATCTACTGGTCATGACCAATCACCATACCAAGTTTGAAGTTCCTAGGCCTAAGGGTTCTTTAGTTATCACTCGGAAACCATTTGGTCTACGGACCGACGGACCGACAAGTGCAAAGCAATATACCCCCTTTTCTTCGAAATGGGGGCATAAAAATGTTGTAAATGTATTTGCTCTAATGATATGTACATGAATGACAACTGTATATGTATCATATATGTGATTTGATACCGAAAGTAATTGGAAAAAAGTAAACTTGTATACTTCCTATTTCTCTTATAATGCAGATGTTATTATGTCCAAGAACATTTAAATCACTATTTGTTCATGCATGTATATAATTAGTTAATATCTAAATTATGTTATAAATTGTATATTTTTGAAAATAATAAATAATTAAGTGACTTGTAGGCCCAACGTGGCCGGGTGTTGTAAAAATAAAAATGTATCGTTATTATGTATGTACATAACACAATGTCACTATAATAAAATTTACTTATCTTATCTTATCTTATATTTTCATATTTAGTGTCAGACTATAATATTGACTGTGATATTTAAGTAACCTAGAGTAAAGCATGTAATGACAATATAAACATTTATAACTTTTCATAGCAACAATACATATACATTGCTGTTACAGATGAAAGAATTAAGCTGAACTGCAGGAGAAAGAAAGTGGTATTAGTTAAACAAGTTATTTCTTCACCTTTTTGATCAATTTTAGAGACCCCTGAAAAGCACAATTTTTACATAACATAGAAAATTATATATGCATATACATTTCTCATAACTAGCATAATTCATTTTTAAGTACAAATCATTCTCGTAACAAATTTCATCATGCCAAAATCTATTGATCACTTATTTGTAAAAAGTTTCCATTTATTATTTTCGTATTTATAAGCAAATATCTAAAGCATGTTTAACATTTTATTACAGTTGAAACTAGCATATCTACAACACTCTGCAAATTAATGGCAACTTCCAAACAAGAACCCCTCACAACCATGATGAAAATATCTCTCCTACTTTGTGAATGTTTTCCAGTCATATTAATATTATTACTTTAAATCCCACAGTAATTTTCTTTCTTTAAGAAATGTTTGTATATATACCCCTGATAAACAATTAAAAACAGGCAATTAAGGTTGTTAAATTTAGTCTCACAAGAAGAAATAAATATTCACAACAAAGACACATGCAATCTATAATAAATATTGTGATTCTTAATATAAAATTTGTTTCAAAAATATTTTGTATTTTGATGTAAACTTTTTTATTTATCTGTATCACTGTAATAAGTTAATCACTGGGATACAGCTTGTAAATTTTTTCAATTATAAAACATGTTGCCTTCAACAAGTATAATTATAAAGCTTGGAAACATTGTAGAGTTGAATATTGGTTTAACATGTATCTTCATTCCCCAAACATTTAACACAAAGAAAAAGCTTTATTTTAATGCCGGACATCAAATACAAGGATGAATTAATAAATCTCCAGCAATATTATAATTAGAATGACAATTAAAGCATTATTTTACTTATGATATCGCTTTGAAACTTTACCTTGACCTTGAGCATAGTAACAAACAAAAACTGTATATATAAGCATTTACCTTTTTCAAGACCTCATGGAAACACACATGTACACTGGTTATTATGATATATGATAAAAGATTATATTACAAACATTACCTCTTCAGATGATGAGTCAGAAAATGTATGTTTCTCAGCCATCTGTCTCTTCACAACTAAACTTGATTCATCCCTTGCAGGGACAGGGGGAGCTTCAAGGTCATCCATATTGAAAAACTCTGCATCGTCCTGTACTGCATCTTCATATGAAGGGAGAGGGGCAAGAGAAGAGTTTTCATACTCAAATACCTCTGGTGACCCTTGACGATCACCTGCAAACAAGTCTTCTTGTTTAACATTAGTAATGCTAGCATCGGTGTTTTCAAAATCAAAACTAAGATCTAATTCAGCTTGAGCAGGCAGTTCACTCTGAAGTTCACTTTGTTTTTGTCTGATTAGCTCTTCATGTGCTTTCATTTCTTCTATAGCATCTTCATTTTCATAGCTTGTTGTAGAAACAACAGAATCCTGTTTCCTTGGTAACGGTACAGGCCTACTTTTCACCTCCGGTTTTGGCTTAACAACAGGTTTTTCCTTCAAAGGTGGTTTTTCAGGAGAAGTTTTTGCTTTTACTGGACTAACGTATGACAAATCTTCCTTGTCAGAGTCATAGAAACTGTCCTGACTTCCTCCTCTATCATGTTTTGGTTTCTCCTGAATGTCAAGGTCACTTGTTGTGCTAGCAGACGACACTGATTCTTTTCTCCTGATATCATCTGGAAGACTATTTTCAAGGTTTTCAAGTTCCTCTAAGTTCATGTAATTGTGACTTTGTTTTTGAAGGTCATGCTCATGCAGGGGTGGGGGTGAGAACTGCAGAGGTACTGTGTTAACCGTAATCTGTGTGAAACAAACAGAAAAACAAACACAAAATATCATATAGGAATGAATGACCTCATGCAGGATATATAGCAGTGATTGATTATATGTTAAATATATAAACCAGCAAGTAAAAGCATAAAAATAGCATAAAATGAAACAAAAATCCCAAAACAGAATAAGCAAAACATAAACTTTGCATAACGTCCGGTTGAAAGTTTTTATTCTAATTTTAAATTTTTCTGTCTTACATATCTTTAAATTGTGTTACTTAGAGTTATCAAATATTGTTGTATTTATATAGTAATTCTATAGTGACCTGATATTATAAAAGTTTTCCTATTCAAGATTGATAATTATTAACTTTTAACTTTATTCTTCAATGTAAGAAGTTTTACTTTCAGGACACCTATTATGCTAGTAATATAGATTTTGATCTGTAGTAGAAAAGTAGTTTTTAAATGTAAAAAGCATTTTGCAGTTTTACTATATGGCAAACATAGAGCATAATAAAAAGCCAAGAGAATAACAAAATTGATGCACAAAAACATCACATAAGCAAAAGATTTATGCTAAAGTAAAACCATCACATCCTCAAACAAAAGTAAAACCATCGCATTCATATACAAAGTAATAAAAAATATTTGAAAACACACTCTATGAAACACAGTCATGATCAAAGTCATGTTGACCTTTTTAAAACACATGTACATAATTATATAACTCATAATTTCGTTGTACATCTCAGTGAAGTTATAAGTTTTGGTACTATATAATTATATACAGTCTTTCCTGTCTACAAGAACCGGTCTAAGGAAAACATTCCTATGTAGTTTACTAGTAGCAACACCTTGGTTCTGGAGATGCTTTGAAAAGTTAACCTAATGTACAGACAGTCAGGTAATGTCCTAGTTATTAGTTTAAGTAGGAATATATGCCATTTTTTTCCAAACAAGCCTTAAAAAAAGCATTATCATAATAAAAACATGAACAGAAAGAATATGGTCACAGGTGTAATCCCAAGTATTGGTATACCAAAATTTGATGCCCAGTTTTAAACAAAGAGAGTGATAGGTAATTTTAAAGATATACAAACCTTTAAGAACAGAATATGTATTTTTCTCTTCATTTTTCACTTACCTTCTCTACAACCAATGGTTGTAATTGTTACTGACTGACAATATTATAAATCTTCCATTTATCACCAATGATGCCTACTTTAATTTTACACTAATTATTTAGGAACATAAATATCTGAATTTTCCGACATCTTGGTCAGACCTAAAACTTTAAATCAGGAAATTAGGAATTCGGTGTGGTGAATATAAAATGGGCGTGTATTAACTGACCTCATGCTCCTCCTCCTCTGAAACTGGCTGTTCCTGGAATGGTCCGGCAAGAGGTAAGGGTTTGGCCACACCAATTCTCACCAGCCCTTTCTGAGCCCCTTTCAGTGCTTGTACTGCCTCATCAAGAGTAGCACTTTCTAGATTTACATCATTTACAAAAACCAGTCTATCCCCGGGTACCAGACGTCCATCTGACTGAGCTACACCACCTGGAACCAGGCTTCGTATTACTATCACAGTCTCACTCGGATTCACTGGATCCTGCAATAAAAAAAAACAAGTTCCTGATTTTCTCTTCAAGTAAACATAGCAACTATAATTATGCTTTAGTTTGTATAATAATGAACTGTTTGAGTTAAAATGCATAGTAATATAATCACGAAAGCTGATAGAATATATACATGTAGCTGGACTATATGTTTGGTGGTTAAATTTGTTTTCGCCTTAGAGTTTCCAAAAGAAATGCTCTTTAAACGCTGTTCCAGTCGGTTGAAAAAGACTTGTCATTTAGTATACTGTTCGCAGACACATTTTGAGAATAATGAATTTTGAAAACGTTGATAAAATTTTTGTGTGCTTATTTTATATCACTTTATATTTTTCAAGCGAAATACAGAGTATTTATAGTGAAATGGATGTGAAATTTAAATGGTTTGCGACATTAAAATAGTGTTCTTGATTTGACTGTTTTGGCACACGCTATTTGGCATTTCATTGTGACGTCAAGTAAACAACACTTTAAATGTCTGTACGAATTAAAGATATTGCTGTTCGAATTTATTTTCTTAGTTAGATTATTTTCTATCATTCTAGATAGTTTTCAGAACAAAATTCAACAAAAAGTTATTTTTATTTTTAAGATTATTTAAACAAAATGGTGCCGTCAATGTGTCTGATTGAAAATACAGAGGAAGGAAATAAGAATGGCGAGTGCATTGTTGTAGAATAACGCACGCTTCTGGCCTTCTTTATTTATATAGAAAAATTTCAGATAGTCTGTTAGAATGCCTTTTTTTCAAATGTGACAAAAATGTAATCTATAAAATGTTTTGCATAATATATATTAATTCTATTGATTTTTGCATTTGTAAAGGACAGCCTTGACTAGTCAATAATAATGCACTTCATGCATTCATCATTTAAAATGATCACATGACAAAACAATACAGAAGCTGCATTAATCTTCTATTTTGGTTTAAGTTTTCCCTGGATAATGTTGCTTTGATATGAAATTATTGAATAAATCCCTGTCCTGACAACTGATATAATTACACAATCAAATATATTTATCTTTGACAAGCATTTCCAGTCTGATCAATTAACTGTCAGCAGATTTCTAAAAAAATAAATTGATGATTTTCTTGCATGAGAATCTGGCATCATCTGGATAATCTTTGTAAGGCTAATAAAGAATAGGGTAACATTCTACATGTACATGTGCTACTGACTTAATTCATCTAATTAATTAATTGATGCCTGTATTTTTTACTTAGATAATGAAACTCAATTTTGATGATTCCTGTATACCCTCTTTAAACTTTGTTTGAGGTGGGGAGTGGGTGTATTAGTATTATGTAGTTATGTCGCTTTTTATTGTATTAGATTTTATAACATTACCAATATTTTGGTTATTCACATGTAGGCAGTTACCTGGTTAGTGTACCTGTATTAACCTGTTGTTATACAAATAATTGCCAACTGCTCCAACTTCTATTTGAACATTGGTTGCATACAAGTGACATTACATTAAGTTGTTGCAACCAAAATCATTACTGAACTAGAAATATGTCTATAGGACACACATCTGTCCACAATCCACAGTCTTGTCATTCTACAGACAGACAGTAGGATGGACAATAAAATTTTTATAATCCTCACCAATTTAAATGGAGCATTAAAAAATTCTACAAACCCATCATTCATCATTTCAAGGACAAGGCAGTCAGCACATAGAGTTTTATTCTAGAATTTCTAAATTTAATAAATGATTGTTGTATTGTTCTACAAGGTAAGCTGTTAGGCTGCTGCACAAACCTCCAATAAGCTACTTGAATAGAAAAACCTTTTCATATTAAACAAATTTTCCATCCATTTATTGCCATCTCATTATTATTTCAGACAATTGCCTATAATCTAAATGTTCTCAAAACTATATTTTTATTTCTTTCAATGCAACAAAAATTTCCTTTTCAATTACCAGAAAAGAAAACCATTTGACAACAAAGAGAGACAACTCACCTGATAATCCAGTATACTAAAACCAAGTCCTTTATCTCCCTTTCTCAGCTCAATCACTACCGGTTCATTGCTCCACATTGCTAATCCTGTCAACGGTTCCAAAGACCGTGACTTCTTACTTGATAAGTTTGTTTGAGCCACAGATTCTGATAAAGTATTATCTGATTTCGATTTAACAAGTCTTTCTGGAACACTTTCACTGACCCCGGAATTGAGAGGTGGAGTCTGGAATTGTTCACCGTCCTGCTCTGCATAGTTTTCGTTGGTAGAAGCATTTCTTCTTGCACAAACAAGACGCACATTTTGTGGAAGCTCTTTTAATATCCCAACCACTTCTTTATGATTTAATCCAAGAAGTCTCTTTCCATTTACCTGCAATGTGATTTATAACTTAAATATTTGACTTTTGTTTCAGTGCACTGACAGTTATTTTTTGATAAAGATTAGTGTACATTACAATCTTCTACTTTGTCTTATAAAGAAATAGCAATTTGTTTTAAAACATGAAATCATTAAGCTATAATATTGTTAAGAAAAACTGTGAGTATATGTAACAATTCTGAATGTTAATTTTGTCAAGAATTTCAAGATATTAAAGCACCATGAGATAGATATACTTGGACTGCCATCAGTTTATAGAAGTATTTACATCAAAATGTAACTCACTACAATGTTAAAGCAGAATCTATTGATGCTTGCAGACATCATGATCACAGTGGATCACTAAATCAGTTAGACATATTAAAGTTTATTCCATATGGTGAAAGGTGACATTTTAGCATTTAATCATTCAAGCGCCCTATCCGGTATATACAGGAATACAGTATTAAGTGTGGTGCGCCAACACTATTTTCAGTCTCAGTCTTTATATAGTCTGGTCAGACTACAATGATAAACAAGTTGATATAGATCACTAAGAGACCACCTTACCTCGAGTAGTTCATCACCACTGTGAAGTCTTCCGTTTACACCTACAGGACCATCTGGTAAGATTGCACGTATATAGTGATGAGGTCTAACTTCAACCCCATTCTCTACATCCACTGTACCTTCCAGACTTATACCTAATCCACCACCTTCTTTAAACTTAGACAACTGGGCAACCTGGTATACACACATACAACAATGAACATTTCATGTATTAATTGTTATGATTTTTTGGAAATGATTTTTTTATATTTCGTTTAATTATCCTTCAAAATGTTTGGTTTGAAAACAATAATTATTTATATTACACTTTTATTCAAAGATTATCATTCAGCAAATGTCATTTCACTGCATAGAGTTTTATTTGTAACATACTTTTAATATGATGAACTCTCACAATCTACTTGTTGGAAACAAAAGCCTCTATAATGCATATATTTTTTTATTTGAAAAAATGCAGCAGGAAAAATGTTAAAGTGATGGGTCTTGGTTAGTGACCAACAATTATAACCATGAAGACAAAGACATGTAAAGATTAAAGTTAAAACTTTCCACAGTTGTAAAGTCTTGCTCCAGAGTTCACAAATGAATATGGTTCATTACTAGATCATTATCATTAGTTATGGGTCTTTGACAGTAGCCTTCAATTATGACTCAAAAGAAATGTATAGAATTCCAAGTAAATTCCCCGATGGGCTACACAAAACCTTGACTAAGTGTTACATTGGTGTCATCATAAGTAGGATAGTCACATTATTCTTCATATAGCCAGGCTAATAATGTCTGTGTCAACTTTTAATTCTTATATCTAGTATTTTTATACCACAGACTTCCAACTATCAATTGCTAGCTTCAGCAATGTAATGCTATTATTGTAAAAGAAGTATGAGACAGCTATAACAAAGATTGAAGTATCATTAATTACGTACCACTACTTCAAACTCCTCACCAACAATTGGTTCCCAGCATGCTCTAATAGCTGCTTCAATATCAGCAGATAATTCACCATCTGAAAATGGAATAATTTCTGTCAAGTACATATCATTATGTTACCACTTCTTTAACCCCTCTATAACAAAGAACAATTTAAGCTACCTAGTGTTGTCACATTCAATTAAATGTTCCTGTCACACTTATTTCCTTCAATACAGGCAACATGCAATGCTAACAAATTAAATGCAAAAATACTGACACTCTATAATGTTGCCAGTTCAGTTTAGACCAGACTCTGTGTTGTTGCCAGTTCAGTTTTTGACCAGACTCTGTGTTGTTGCCAGTTCAGTTTTTGACCAGACTCTATATTGTTGCCAGCTCAGTTTTTGACCAGACTCTATATTGTTGCCAGCTCAGTTATAGACCATACTCTATATTGTTGCCAACTCAGTTTTAGATCAGACTCTGTGTTGTTGCCAACTCAGTTATAGACCAGACTCTGTATTGTTGCCAACACAGTTTTAGACCAGATTCAATATTGTTGCCAGGGCAATTTTAGACCAGATTCAATATTGTTGCCAGGGCAGTTTTATATCAGATTCTATATTGCTGCCAGGGCAGTTATGACTTTTTTGTTGCTGTCAGCAAGTTATTGGCCATTTCAAGTTCAAGAAAAATAACATTCAAATGCTATTCAAATGTTCAACTAATTGTGCTCATGACTTAACTTCTCCAATTTTTTTTTAATTTTAAAATCTTTTTGTCATAAGGAACAAAAACATATGTGCCTGAACTAGGTTTGACATTCATTGAAGTAAAACTCTCCATCATCGGAAAATTTAATAAAGAGCCATTCACACTGTCTTTTAATTTATCCTTCTTCCATTTGGTAATTGTTTTCTGCAAAATATTTGATTGGATCCACAGTAGTGCTGTGTAGCATTTCTGAAGGCAATCATTACATTAGCTGTATTTGTGAGTAGTCTAGAAAGATTTAAGAAATTTTTTGTTTTCTTCTGCCATGCCCTGACAACGGTTTCTCAAATGACAGAAATTTAAATTAAACCTGACTTTACAAATTTGCAAGGATGAAATTTTTTTTTAAAAAGAATAAGGTTTATTACGTGAGAGGAAATCTTAAAGAAACAATATAGCATGTGCAGATAAAATGATCGTAAAACGAAGAATAAACTATTCTCATTGCAAATATCAAATGTTTTCTTAGGTTTATCTAAAAATTACAATAGTTATATTGACAACAAGATATTATGGTTTGTGAAAGTCTATATCAATTCATGTTATAAATTGTTTTATTAAGAACATTTCTATCTTACCAAGGTTATCACTAAAGTATAAACCACATAATTTCATCTTCTCTGTTTTCAGCCTTTCTTTCAACATAATTTTAAACACTTTAAACTTATACGATTCACTAGAAAAACTATAACATTCCAACTCTTCATATCCTATTCTAAAGATTGTATATCCATTGAACACAATAAACTAGTGTATATAATATATGTATATATAATCAAACAACAAAATTTCTCCTTATAAACAGTGCAAGTGATCAGTAAATTGTGATCTGATTCCAAACCAATTGCTGACTTTCTCTGAGGGGATATTAATTAGTCTCTTAATGGATTAACTTCTGAATAAATTTTTCCTAATTACATGTAAAACAAGAGCTTTATACAGGGTTTCATACAAGACATGAGGTTTAATTATGTCTATAACAAGAGCATGGCACAAGAATCATAGGGAAAATGTACATTTACTTCTACCTTACATTACATTTTAACCATTAAATTGAACAGATAACTCTTCTTTTGTCTTGTTATATCCAGAGAAGTAGATTAACACTGAAACAACTACTTGGAAATTAAATGGTTAAAAATGCAACAGTTGTTGTTATTTTTTTTACAATGCTAAATGATGGATATTGTAAATTATTCAAACCATGATTCTTTCTGACAAATCTGCTAAAATTGACTTGTCATGTTAAAATCAGTCATAAATTTGGTAAAATATAAGCTAAAATATAACCATATGAAAGTGAAGATTGTCAACTAATTATCATTCATGTGAAAAACATTTAGAAGTTTGAAATCTTTTAGCCAAATATTTTTGGTTTTCATAACATAACATAACACATAACAAAAGAAGCAGTAAAATCACAAAAATGTTTTCAATTTATTTCAAAAAGGAGGTGCATATGGATTGTTAAATCTGGGTGCAAGAAAATAATAAAAAAAAAATTTAAGCAGCAGAGAAATTGCAAGTCTGGGAAAACTTGGTTATACATCCTAGAATGTTATATACCATAAAGAAAACTAGAGGGGAAGACAGGCACTTAGAGACAATTCTTAGACACATAAAGCTAAAAACAGATGAATAAATGTCATACAGGATTATACTGGGAAAGTTTAATTAAGATCAAATTGGAGATATAAGCTGAAAGAAAAACTTTGTCTTATTCCCTTAAGTTCTTGTCTTTCAAAGGTAGCATAAGCTATGAGACTGTCCTACAGTATATATCTGATCACATATTGTTTAAGTTTTACATCTTTAGCCATTATCAAAGACAATGAAATGCATAGTTTGAGTAGACACTTCCAACTTCACAAATTTGAGTGGCGGCATGGCCAAGTGGTTAACACATCAGACTAGTAATTTTATGATTGCTAGCCGCATGGGTTCAAACCTCATCAGTGGCAAGCCATTGTTATCATGAGCAAGAAACTTAACACTCATTGCTCAGTACTGGTTTGTTCCAGGAATGGATTCCAAAGTGTGTATGTAAGCTTAAAGCTTCCTACAAAATCAAACTAAAATAAATTCTGTACAAACCAAATTTAATCACTTCAAGACAAAAAAAACAACAACACAAAACAAGAAAATCATCATTTGTTCACATGATATGCTGATACCTCAGAGACACAACATGATGGTCCTCCCTCACTAAATACTTTTAAAGGCAAGGAACAGTCAAATGAATCTTAATTATATCATTATATTTTGAATTAGAAAAAAGATTAAATGTATTGTTACCACTCTATCCTGAATTGATAAAAAATTTAAGTGTGACCGAAATAGAAGCACTTCAGTGGGATATTTTTGGAAACAATTAAGTGACAACAAATTGAACAAAATTGCTAAATTAACCAAAAATGACAAAAACACTGCCATTTAACTTTCTTGCGATTTTTCACAAGGAAAAAAAAGAAAGACAAGTAAATTATGTAACAGAAAATTGTATTGAGGATGCATGGGAAAGGTTTGATAAATAGAAGTGTCATAATAGAGATGTTAGGAAATAGATCAAGACAAAACTCGGCTTTCTTTTCTCATTCATTTCAACCAAACTGAAAGCATTTGTATTAACGAACATGCTTACAGCTTGAGGCATAGAGGAAATTAAATGTAGACAAGCTTTCATCTGTATCCAGGTCAAAATACAGATTGTTTTTATACACAACATTACTTGAAACATTCAATAAAATATGGATTGTATCTAGGGATTTACGTCTTATCAATAGATGGCTAATGCACCTTTTATCTGCAGAAGCATGAGGTGCATTTATAACACAAGTCACACGGCAAAGAGATTTAATATTAGTTTGATTTCATCCATTAATGCATGTTTCCTTTTCTGTTTATGTATACCTACATGCACAATTTTTATACAAGAAATGTTTAATATAATAACATCAGTGAGTTGAGATTATGTTACATTTAACAGTAAAATGTTTCTAGTAACCACAATGAGGAGAAAATCTGTGTCTCATAAAAACAATTACTGTGAAAATCACACACTGTATTAATGTAAGGCAAGGCTATGTCTTAAACTATAGAATTAATTCTAAATAACCATTAACAATCTTTCAATAAAATTTCTAAGAATTTATCCAACCATTTCATAAAATCTTTGGCTATCTTGTTGCCATGGAAACTAAAACTTTTTAACAATGACCCTAATTTTAAGGAATCTGAAAGGAAGGCTACACAAAGAATATTCATGTTGAATTTGGTTAAATTGATCTATGATGAACTCAAAGATGCTGCATCATCAAGTTATAGATGTATGACGCTCATCATCAAGTATAGATGTATGATGCTGCATCATCAAGTTATAGATGTATGACGCTGCATCATCAAGTTATAGATGTATGACGCTGCATCATCAAGTATAGATGTATGACGCTGCATCATCAAGTTATAGATGTATGACGCTGCATCATCAAGTATAGATGTATGACGCTGCATCATCAAGTATAGATGTATGACGCTGCATCATCAAGTATAGATGTATGACGCTGCATCATCAAGTATAGATGTATGACGCTGCATCATCAAGTTATAGATGTATGACGCTCATCATCAAGTATAGATGTATGATGCTGCATCATCAAGTTATAGATGTATGACGCTGCATCATCAAGTTATAGATGTACATCAAGTTATAGATGTATGACGCTCATCATCAAGTATAGATGTATGACGCTGCATCATCAAGTTATAGATGTAGGACGCTGCATCATCAAGTTATAGATGTATGATGCTGCATCATCAAGTTATAGATGTATGACGTTGCATCATCAAGTTATAGATGTATGACGCTGCATCATCAAGTATAGATGTATGACGTTGCATCATCAAGTTATAGATGTATGACGCTGCATCATCAAGTTATAGATGTATGACGCTCATCATCAAGTTATAGATGTATGACGCTCATCATCAAGTATAGATGTATGACGCTGCATCATCAAGTTATAGATGTATGACGCTCATCATCAAGTTATAGATGTATGACGCTGCATCATCAAGTTATAGATGTATGACGCTCATCATCAAGTATAGATGTATGACGCTGCATCATCAAGTTATAGATGTATGACGCTCATCATCATGTTATAGATGTATGACGCTCATCATCAAGTATAGATGTATGACGCTGCATCATCAAGTTATAGATGTATGACGCTCATCATCAAGTTATAGATGTATGACGCTCATCATTCAAGTATAGATGTATGACGCTGCATCATCAAGTATAGATGTATGACGCTGCATCATCAAGTATAGATGTATGACGCTGCATCATCAAGTTATAGATGTATGACGCTGCATCATCAAGTTATAGATGTATGACGCTGCATCATCAAGTTATAGATGTATGACGCTCATCATCAAGTATAGATGTATGACGCTCATCATCAAGTTATAGATGTATGACGCTGCATCATCAAGTTATAGATGTATGACGCTCATCATCAAGTATAGATGTATGACGCTGCATCATCAAGTTATAGATGTATGACGCTCATCATCAAGTATAGATGTATGACGCTGCATCATCAAGTTATAGATGTATGACGCTCATCATCAAGTTATAGATGTATGACGCTGCATCATCAAGTTATAGATGTATGACGCTGCATCATCAAGTTATAGATGTATGACGCTGCATCATCAAGTTATAGATGTATGACGCTCATCATCAAGTATAGATGTATGACGCTCATCATCAAGTTATAGATGTATGACGCTGCATCATCAAGTTATAGATGTATGACGCTCATCATCAAGTATAGATGTATGACGCTGCATCATCAAGTTATAGATGTATGACGCTCATCATCAAGTATAGATGTATGACGCTGCATCATCAAGTTATAGATGTATGACGCTGCATCATCAAGTTATAGATGTATGACGCTGCATCATCAAGTTATAGATGTATGACGCTGCATCATCAAGTTATAGATGTAGGACGCTGCATCATCAAGTATAGATATATAACGCTGAAAACCTAACATCTCAACAAACACAGTTATTCCCGCTCTTTAATGAGCTGAAGAAACTGGTCTTAATGATAGTATTTGTGTTTTTATTGATAATTTACAAGAGCAAATTCTCATTACGTTTGTATATATGTACATGTATATACATTATATATATTTGCTAATGTAAGAGTTGGATGGTAACCCAGATTGGCTGCTGTTTTGGTTTAATTTGGGTTAAGTCACTAGGGTGTCCAATTCACAGCAATCAATTTAGTTGCCATTAGTTACCTAAAATAAATGAAGCTTCTAAATGAATGTGTCACTGCATGAACAAATGGGGTTGTTAATGTGACAGACAAAAGACTCTTGACACAAAAATTTACCTTTTTATATGTGGGACAAGTCTCCCAGTACTAATTGATATTTTGTTGCCAATTAAAGCCAACACTTAACTTTCTGACAAAGGGATAAGCATGTGATGATGAAATGTTGAGACATTTCTGGTTTACAATTCAACATTTCAGCATTTATGTAATTATATCATACCAAACTGTTAGTAAGGACAGATTTTTTTTAATTCTTCATATCTTTGTATTAATGCAGTTATAAGCACACATTTGAGAATAACATCTGACCCTCCATAAGCTATATAGCTAATAGTGGTGGCATGGCAGAGTGGTTAAAACATTCTTTGCCATGTGGGATCAAACAATGTAATAAAGAAATAAACACATTGGTCTGTGAGTAACAACAAAATATCACCCTTAGTAAGAATACTGTTACAGTATTTTCCTCAGAATGATATTTTAACTGTTACTCACAAACCTATGTGTTATTTATATAATGTTGTATTAAAACATCTGACCAGTTACAAATACTGCTATCATTGATATGTAAGATATATACTATACCTAGATCATCTTGCATGGGAGTAACAGAATCTTCATTATCAACAGACTGTTGGGTAGGCTGGGTGTTGAGTTCGTATCTTGGTGTAGCTATTGTTGTGGATTCAGTAGGCATAGCAGAGGGTGGTACATACATCTGGGGTTGAGCTGTAAATACAGAAATATATATGGTACATGCTGGGCTTTTTAAAATCTTATGTTTTCATTTTTAAGATTTTCTAAATGGGAAAAGGGTACTGCTACCATTTATTTTATACTGTACTGGCAAGAAATTAAAAAAATGTTATTTCTCCAGATAAATATATATACACTAAAGTGTCAGAATTAATAAACGGTTTAGATTCCAATAAGGTTACTTATATGAGGAAATCTATACACATTACACAATACTTATTCTGCAATATACCATAGTAATTTTATTGACACAGAAGATTAACTTGTCTCACATTGGAATTTCTCTGTTCTTATATAAATGGGATCATGCAAGCTAGTCAACCCAGGGGTATAAGTATGAAGTATATACTGAAGGCTTAATGGGAAATTGTAGTCGCATATTCTGTCAGTTTAATGTGTTATACTATTATTTCTCTATATCTTCAACTACAGCTAGAACATCAAGCAGCAATATTGCCTCTAAACATCTCTTTTCCAGTAATAAAAGGAGTTTTAGAATATTTATTTTCATGCCGTATTTATCTTTTCATAATAGGTCATAAGCAGAATTCAAAAGCAAGATTATAACCAGTTACTATGACAACCACAGATTTAATTTCAAATTTACATATTTAAGTATATTTTTTGTCTTCTTTGGGATTTTTTTCCTTCATTTACATCATCATTTTTTTTCACAAATGAACAGTAAAAACTGTTGTTAAAAAGATATTTTAGACACTGATGGTGACTTATTTAACAGCATTTTTGCATATCAATATCGATTCAATATAGTGATCATCTCTGTGAAATAGTTGTTAAATCCTTAACTTCAAGTAGCGAAGTTATGGGCCGGACACGATTTTGGTACAAGGTCACGCTGTGACCTTGACCTTCAAGGAAGCGACCCAAATGTTGCGCGCAACACATTGTCTCAATATGGTGATTATTTCTGTGAAATAGTTTTAAAATCTGACTTCAAATAACGAAGTTATGGGTCGGACACGATTTTGCTTCAAGGTCATGCTGTGACCTTGACCTTCAAGGTAGCGACCCGAATGTTGCGCGCGACAGTCGTCTTAATATGGTGATCATTTCTGTGAAATAGTTTTAAAATCCGACTTCAAATAACGAAGTAATGGGCCGGACACGATTTTGCTGCAAGGTCATGCTGTGACCTTGACCTTCAAGGTAGTGACCCAAATGACACGTCGTCTCAATATGGTGATCATTTCTGTGAAATAGTTTTAAAATACGACTTCAAATAACGAAGTTATGGGCCACACATGATTTTGCTGCAAGGTCATGCTGTGACCTTGACCTTCAAGGTAGCAACCCAAATGTTGCGCATGACACATCATCTCAATATGGTGATCATTTCTGTGAAATAGTTTTAAAATCTGACTTCAAATAACGAAGTTATGGGTCGGACACGATTTTGCTTCAAGGTCATGCTGTGACCTTGACCTTCAAGGTAGCGACCCAAATGTTGCGCCCGACAGTCGTCTTAATATGGTGATCATTTCTGTGAAATAGTTTTAAAATCCGACTTCAAATAAAGAAGTTATGGGCCGGACACGATTTTGCTGCAAGGTCATGCTGTGACCTTGACCTTCAAGGTAGTGACCCAAATGACACGTCGTCTCAATATATGGTGATCATTTCTGTGAAATAGTTTTAAAATCCGACTTCAAATAACAAAGTTATGGGCCGGACACGAATTCAGGACCTACATACGTATGTACGGAAGGACTGACAGACTGACGGACGGACAACCCGACGACTATATGCTCCCCCGAAATTTTTCTGGGAGCATAATCAAGTTACGACAATCTAAGCAAAATTCAATATTCCACATTGATGGTTAACATCATTTATAGGTCAAGGTCATATATGTATTGCTTGAATTTCAATGAAGGTCAATATCTTTAATGAGTCAAGGTCAAATTGAGTTTGATCTTCTCCAATAAATTGTCTGTAAGGTCGTTGTGCTCACATATGAAGGAAGTCCAGCCAATTACAGCAAAAATGATGCAAATCCATAATTTGACCTTTAAAGTCAAAGTCATGCATGAGTGAAGGTCATAATCAATTTTGACTACTTAGTCTTGTCCAAAGGATTGTTGTATCCAAGTATGACGACAATCCATTAAAAAAAAACCCATATAGCTAATTATAGCAAAATGAAGCAAAATTCTCAGATTTGCTGGATAAGATTAACAATTGACTTATTTAACCTCTAGTACATGCTTAAGGTACATATAGCTATATTTCATATTAAAAGTAAGTACATTTCATACTTCAAGCAATCTTGAATCTCATATTTCTGCTTTTCTGTCAAAAACACTGAGTGTAATAAGTTGTACTTTAAGATAGACTTTCCTCAGAATATATCTTCCGGTTATGTTGCTATAGCTATAATACTGGAGAAAAATCACCTTACATCATGATCTTGTGAAAGTTGTGTAAACTATCTACTCAAGATAAATGATCACTAAATCGCTTTTAAAACATCAAGACAATTTGCTTTGTAAAGTGTGATCGATACACAGTGCATGTCAAAAATCATCAGACATTAAGATGTCTCAGTTTGATTTATACACTACAATCATTGAAGTACCTCTTCAATATAATCAACCATTCTGAAGACAAAATCACTACAGAATGAAGGAAATTATCCCTTAAAGTGGACCACTTTCAGATAATGCACATCTCTCAACAAAAAAATTATCAATTTTAAAAGCATGTTAGAAGTTATGTTCACTATGTTAATACTCTTTACCTGAACTTGTGTTTTGTTTGTATAATAATGTTTTGAGACTGTTATTTTGTCATCAAGTATGCTGCACTTTCCTAATAACAAACTTATTACATTGTCTTTTCAAGAGTTTTGTTCATGATTCTCTCAACAAATTGATTGAATGAACATGTTAAAATGATATAGAGCTATATTTAATGAAATAGTTTTATAAAATTCACAAACAGTAGAACTTATAATGTTGCTTCCATACTTCTATTGTAGATTCTTGAAATAGTTGCATGAAACAATGTCTCTGTTATTTAACACATATGAATATTGTACAAGAACAGAATAAAATATTCCTGAACAAAATATTATTTTGTCATTTTAAGTATGATATTAACTATTTAGAGCCCCATTCTCTCTAAAGACACTGTACAAACATTATACTTCTTTTGAGTATTTTGGAATTATTCTTTTTCAAAATACTTGCAGCAGAAATATAGCTTTATACACTTGCAATATTAACAAAAACAAAAATCGGAATAAAATCAGATGTTTTTATGTTTAACACATAAAGCATAGCATTATTTAGAAAACTGACTTTAAATCCGATTGGATTTCTGAAAAAAAAAGGCTACATATTATACAATTGTAAAATAATAATATAACAATATAATGGGTTTTAACCTTTGTTTTGCCTTTTATAAACGATCATTTCAAACCTATATTAAAAGTGTATAGCTGGGCAAGACTGTAATATGTACATCCTTATAGCCTGACAAGATGATATTTAAATCAAACAGTTGTTAAAACAAATGAACTGAGAAGCCCTGGGAGTACACAAATTCAGCAAGTAGAATGACCTTTGTACTTTTATCCTCGTCACTGTGATATTCTACAATACTGAGAGAGATATATACATATATATAAATTGGAAGAGTTTACACATGCTAATATAATGAGCCTGAATAATCACCATCACTGAAATTCTTGTCAAATAATGGATTTTCTACATGAACTGTTCCTATACCAAACACATTTAACAAACTAATGACAAAACCATGTTCTACACGGGTAAGTCATCCAGTCAACTATCTCTAATACAGCAATTTATCTGTATTTATTCCACCAAAATGATTTAAACAAGGAGAAAGGTTATGCTTAAGGCTTCAGCTGCCGATGATTTCTTTGAATGAAAACTTTCCACAAATGTTAATCGCAGCTCATGTAATAAAGAAACACATTTAGAATTTTCTATTTAATTATTAAGAAAATAAACCTTGCTTAAGCATTACGACCATCTCTGCTGTATTTCAATAGACCAAATATAACTGCAAGGTTTTAATATGATAACTAAACTATCAGGACTTCATTATATTGAGCATATAAAATAGAAGAGAAACTTTTATTACATCAACAGTACATGGTGTAATAAGTATACTATAGGGAAACTGCATCAGTAAACAGGAACGTGATAAAACTATACATAGAAATTCCCTTCGGAGACACTACCTTCTCTATAAACTGCTCTTCTATAGATACAGACTCAATACAAATAATTAAAGGTGACCAGTTCGACACATCATACTGTTTTTATTGCTAGATTTCCCCTTCCTTCTCTACAAAATGAGACACCACTTGGGTGTTGTTTCTTGATGACACACAACGTTTTTCTGCCAGCAAATACATACGGTTACATAGTAAAGTGAAGGAGAGATAAATTACAGACACAAATAAAAACCATTTAAAACCTTTTACAAATGTCAATTCACTTAGAGCACTTAAAAGCAGGAACACTTGTATTTTCCTCAAATTTCTTGCAAACTATGATATAAGGGAGGTAATTAGAGCAGTAATAAATATATGTCTAGATTATTTTTTGAAATGACATGAACCAATTAAAATTGCCAAAACCAAAATGTGGGCATGGTTAATTTGTCATCACTGGAAGAATGTTGGGTGTGGTTGAATAGAAACAATGTTCACAAGGTGGATGTCTCAATAAGATTTGTTTGTTTGTTTGTTTCATTTTACGCCTTTTCCCAACAGTATTTCAGTCATATAGGTGGGTAGTTTCCTAAACATCGTTCCTGGAGAGTTACACCAGTACTAGACTACCTTTCTCCGCGCTAAACTACCAAATCCCGGGGATCGAACCCACGCCAGAGAGGTAACTGGATTAGAAGTAATCGACTCTAACCCCTCGACCACGGAGGCGACTCAATCTTAATTAAATAGTATTTTGGATGTGACCTGAGTTTAATTGAAGTTTCATGCTGGCACTTTACTCTTTAATATTATTGAAGCAATCCTCATTAACTGGTTATAATAAAACAATTACATCTGACATAAATGACCTTTTTTAACATATATTATTTTATATATTCATGTATATGTTTCTGTAAAAAAAAAATTTTTTAAACAAGATAAGCAATGAAACCTGTAGATAATAATTATGCCTATGTCTCATTTTCACTAACATAAAATGAAGATTTTAAGATTAAAAGCCATTTCAAGAAAGCTCTTAAGTCAATAGTGAACATGATATTTATGTTCTAAAAACATTACAATAACAGGGGTCTTTAAAAATTTTTTTAGTCAAATACGCAGGTGCTAAACAGTCATATATTTTCTATTTCAGAAAGATACCCAATATGTCTATATAGTACAAGTTAAAATAACTACAGTACTATAATTAGCTGGCTTATAGCTTTCTTCTTCAATAAATTTAGAAGCTGCTCTGTACAAGAGAAATCAGGAGATTAATGTAATTATAGAATCAGATTATATAAGTAAACTAATTTATCATTTGACCTCTGACACACCACTAACCAAGTTTCCTGGAATTCATTTAAGATATTATAAAGACAGCTATGGTCTAGTGGCTCACATTAAAGTAAGCTTTTTAAGTAAAGACATGAATTCTTTCGAATATTATACTTTTGAAACTAAACCAACAATTGTTTATTTGAAAAGAATTTAAGATAATATGAAATCTATATATACAACACAATATTAAAGCAGCATGGCTCCAGATTATTACTATCTCTTCTATTTCCATGAAAACTATGAAAATGTATTAAAAAGTAAAATATAGTGAAGTGAAAAAAGAAATATTTCACAAATTGAAAATGACATTAAATCTAAAACCCTTGATGCATTAGTATCCGCAGTAGAAATATGGTGAAATACATGCTGCAAAATCGGTTATTAATCTCACATAGCATGAGAATAATTACTTTTATCTTGAATCATTTTACTTTTCTTAAAATCTCAAAACATTTTTCTCAAGTTTGAATTTCTTGTCATATTTTAGCTAATCTGGAGTCATGCAGCTTAAAAATTTAATACAAGAAAACAACCTAAAGTGAACCATACTTTCTGTAAAATTAGCCTCTCATTTTAAGACAGCAAGTGTAGAAATGGATTGTTACACTCAATTCCGCTGATATCATCTCATTGTCAATGAAAACAAAATTGATTCTATATTTGTCTCTCGAAAACTAGGTATGAATACCAAGTACAGGATTTAACCAGATAGCAATCCTTACTGATGAAACATTCCTGCTTATTGCAGATAATGTTTTTACACTGAATTATTATTTGGCCTTTTGAAGTTTTATCCATATAAGGAATTAAATTTTGTTTGTTTTGAAGCATCATTTCTCTAAGTCGAGTTATTAACCCTTAGTATATCCCACAGCAAAACACAAAGCGCCCAGAGTGGTTGTCTTTAAAAGTTGATTTTTTTAATGGACATGTCCTTCTTTGAATTAAAAACACGGTCAATTATTAAATTTCAATATCAATAAATTAATATTGTGCCATCAACAATCACAATGTGAATGCTAAAAAAATTAAATGAAGGAAAACAATAAAATAGGAAACATTTTTCTTCACCTCAGTTTATTTTCCAGCATAAACATTTTAAAGAATGATTTCAAACATTATAAAACAAAACTTAACATGTTAATTTTATAGTGTCAAATCATTTCATTAAATTTCATTACTGCAGTCTAAAACTAAAACTTTTTTTGAAAGAAATGCACATTTTCATTTTTGCAAAATAAGAAGCCCATTCTATAGGTTATCAGTGCCATTTTGTCATAGATTTTAGCTAAATTCTCTTTCTAAAATATCATTAAATTTGAGATCATGAAATTTCCTCTGTGGATTTGATAAAAATGAGATATTTGTGTCGATGCAAATCAAATAATGGATTTTAATCACTTGGGAATTAATAGATGTTTATTTCAATTTGTTGATGGTTTCCTCTAATGTGTGTACAAGAGGATTTTATAAATGTGTATACAACAGTTTAACTATTGTTCTCAGCCATAAAACTTACACGTTATAATTCATGAAATAAAAAAGAAAAGAATTGAAAATACAAAACATGTTTAAACATCTAAGATTACATTGTATCATTGTCTGAGACCAATCTTGGCGTCTTTGTTCACTGATGTTGTATCCTTGGTAACTTATCAATTCAGTTAAACAAATTTAATTCACACAGGCAAATTTCTTTAAAACTAAATAATGGTCTTGACCTTGGAAATATTTGTGTTTGCCTATCATACTTCCAGCATCAAGTCAATATTATACACTACATTCAAAACTAACCAGAGTAACCAAATGTACTGAACGACTACTTTAAAGACCCCCCTCTGCTTCAATTCATTTGCTCTCTATATCTTAAATGTCTTAACCAGCTTCTCAACATGACCTATAATCAATCCTCGTATTCGGATCTGTTTTTCATCAATTGGCCAGTTTTACATGCAAAGTTTTTGTGTTTTTTAAAGAATTCCCCTCATGCAAACAGAAGTGTTCACAATAAATACACAATGCATATGTGTAACATATTCTAATTACAGAACATTTTCCTAGCAAAATGCATATGTTTAACATATTCTAATTACAGAACATTTTCTTAGTAAAAACGTGACAGCAGATCTACTTTGGATAATGCCGGGTAATCAAATAAAGGGTTGTCAAATAACCGGGGTCAGATTGTATGGACCAATGGAGATATCAAGAGTAATTTTTGTTTTTATTTATTCAACGTTGTTTATTATACATTGTCTTAACAGACTGTAACATTTGTGGTGTTAACCTTCCCTGGTCATTAATACAGTTTTTACTGTATGTTCATTTCTGTCTATAACACAACCTTAATTTTGTTCATTCTTGTGTATTTCACAGACAAAATTATGGTTGTTTCTGTCTAATGCCAAGCTATGTTCCTACAATCTAATGCATTACACTGTCTAAATTATATTTATGACTGTCTATAACACAGTCAAATATATAACAAAGATTTCCTACTCTTTTCTCCTGTATCAATCTCATGAAAAACAAAATCATTTCAACAAAGCAGATACCAAAAAACATGGAAGGTTTTTCTGTTATGTTCTGGAATCTCATCAAAACTGTTTCCTATAATTCTCCTGTAACTTAATTATCATGACAGGAAATTTCTTAACAAGAAAACCATTCTTTCACCATGACAGGCATACCCTGCTTGTTTTTGTCTTCAATCCTTTCTAGTCATTATATTAATTTATAAGAAATAAAACCTTCATTTATAAACCATACATCCGTTAAGATGCATATCTTACTGTAAGTTTACTACAATACAAGAATACACTCCTTATAATCTAATCTATCTGATTTCCCAATTACATGAACTAAATCAATTACCTCAGACAGTAAATGCATTTGTAAGATGACACCATTATTTGTCATTAATAATTGATCATGCCAGTGGATTAAGAAAATTCCAGCGTTCAATATAATCACAGGACATTATTCTGTTCCTGGCGTAAGCTACAAAGAACTAAATAAATTGCTGATCTATAATTAAATGGTAACTCTGGTATTATAACATGTCCTTTAAGCTATCAATAACCATGGCAGTCCCTGAACAATCAATATCCATAGTTGTCCCTGAATGGTCAATGTCCATGGTTGTCCCTGAAATACCCATGTCAATGGTAGTCCTTAAACTGTCAATGTCCATGGTAGTCCCTATACTGTCAATGTCCACAGTATTCGTTGAACTCTCAATGTCCATGGCAGTCCCTGAATGATCCATGTTCATGGCAGTCCTTGAGCTCTTAAAATCCCTAAACAATCAATATCCACAGTAGTCCCTGAACGGTAGTCCCTTAACTATCAACACAGAGATTTGTTGGATTACCTTTAAAAGCATATCTTATTACATATAAGTAATAATTTGTCTTTGCATCAAAAACACATAGTCCCTGGATGAATGTCAGGTTGTCCCTGAACTATGAATGTCAGTGGTTTGTCCCTGAACTATGAATGTCCATGGTTTGTCCCTGAACTATGAATGTCAGTGGTTAGTCCCTGAACTATGAATGTCCATGGTTTGTCCCCTGAACTATGAATGTCCATGGTAAGTCCCTGATGAATGTCCATGGTTGTCCCTGAACTATGAATGTCCATGGTAGTCCCTGATGAATGTCCATGGTTGTCCCTGAACTATGAATGTCAGTGGTTGTCCCTGAACTATGAATGTCCATGGTTGTCCCTGAACTATGAATGTCAGTGGTAGTCCCTGAACTATGAATGTCCATGGTAGTCCCTGATGAATGTCCATGGTTGTCCCTGAACTATGAATGTCCATGGTTGTCCCTGAACTATCAACACAGAGATTTGTTGGATTACCTTAGAAAGTGTATCTTATTACATGTAAGTAATTATATGCCTTTGCATCAAAAACACACAATTATCAAGTTGTGTATTAAATTAATTACATATACTACCTTTGATCACATTCAGCAAAAACATGTACATTACTAAAAGAGTCTAACCAATTTTCTTTCCATCACAATATATCAATATTGACATACCTAAATACTGCTGCAGCTTTTCAAACTTGGCACCATGTTGGTATCTAGCAAGTTTAAGATGGACAACTTGACCAGTGTTGCGTAATACTTCAACAGCATCATGGTTACTGAAACCTTGTAATGGTCGCCCATCAACCTAGTAATGTAAACATCAGTTAATACCATATATATATATGATAACAATAATAATAATAATGAACATGATAATGATAATGACAATGACAATAATAATGACAACAATTACAATTGTAAAATGAAAGAAACTAAGACATGAAAAACAACCATGAACACCAGCCAATCATTCTCATGTTTGTAACATGTAGTTATTGAATCACTTTTAATCTGGGATTTAAATTTATTGAGTGATAATTTGTTTGTTTGTTTGATTGGGTTTTAAGTAACACCAACACAGTATAATCATATGGTGATGTTCCAGCTTTACTGGTGGATGAAGACCTCAGGTGCCCTTCCGTGCATTATTTCAAGCACGAACGGGCACCTGAGTAGAACCACCGACGTTCCGTAAGCTGGCTGGATAGCTTCCTCACATGAAAGAATCCAAAGTTCCTCTCAGGATTCTAACTAACAGCGGCAAGGGTTAAGTGGTTTGAAGTATACAACCTTAACCACTCAGCTATGGACGTCCTTATTAAAAGATAACAGCATTGCATTTATTCTCCGGTAAAAATCTTTTAAATTATCTCTTTACTCTTGCCAATGATCGCAAAATTTTGCCTTAAACTGAGGGCATAGTTTTTAATGACACTGGTGAGCAAATTCGATATACATTTCATCATTATAATAGAGGACTACTTCAGCTTTTCTTGATAAGAGTCTTTGTGAGAGCAAGTCCTTCCTATATTTACTGTTATCTTGGAAGTCAAGAAACATATTCAGCATGTCACCACAAGAATTGTTTCAAAATGCTGTCCATAATTTGTTTGAACATGAATATACAATGTTTTACCCCACAAAGATTTCACAATACTTAGAATAACCATAGCAATTAATAACATGATTTTCTGCACTTTTCAACCTGTCAATCTTTTTGAGAAATATTTTAATTATTCTGTCCTACAACACTAATTCTAAAGTGCTCCTATTATATCACACTCTACAATATGTCTACTTCTGTTTTCCTGTTTTAATGCAATAATTACCAATTTAGGACAACTTTAAACCTTGAATTCTTAACAATCAATAATGACTGAACTAATCAAAAACCTAAACTGACTCCGTATCTCTCTCACTTATAGAGGAGACACATGTATCTTATATAAATTACCTCAATAATTTGATCGTTGACTTGAATCTGTCCATCTTGTGATGCTGCACTACCTGGAGTAATACTCTTAACAAATATACCACATAAATCATCTGAAAAACAACATCATATACACATGTTGACCAGTAACATTGTGAAAATGTCAAGTGAAAATCAAATATGTTAAAATCATACAAAAGAATTTCTGAAAATATTGCACAAAATTCCTTCTTTCTGCATGCCAACCTGTTTTTAAGATGGAGAAAAATAACTGTTTCCATTTTTCATGAAAATGTAGATGTAATAAATTATTCAACTTTTATTAAAGATTTTCATTTAACTAAAATTCAAAAGAATAATTAATTTAAAATTGTTTAAGAGTTGTTTAAATGCAATAACATATCATTGATACATTGCTCTTATTGCAGGCGGTAAAAATTCAAGCTTTACTAAGAGATGCATCATGAACACTGCATTTTTTAAATAATTTTACTAGGTCTGTGACATTTTGTTCATGGTATAAAATACAGTAGTCTGGTCCCTTTGGTCTAGACTAGGAATGATGGCTCTATAGACAACATAACATCAGCTAGAAAAATAAACTATCCAATTAAGACCAGAATATACGTTAACAATGGACTTAATACCCATGTATACATCAAATCGTATACCTCTCATCAATTCTTTCCCTGGCAGATATAGTCTTATCAATCACATTGTTTCCAGGAAACCAAATAAATGTTTATGTGGGTTAGAGGAAGAAGAAAACATATAAATGTTTGAGATTGAAATACTTGCAGTCAGTTATATATTTTAACAATATAGCACAATACTAATTGCCATGATCTATGATAGAAGTGCATGTACATGTATGTTTGATATTTTAACTTTGACTCACAATCAGTAGGATATTATGATGTTTGAGCACAACACTAGTTGCAATGCTTGCAGTCAGTTCACAATTTTGATTTTTCAGCACAAAACTGTCAAATCTAGATGAATTTGAAGAACAGTTAATAACAAAATAATTTATACCTGGGTTGTTGTCCCTGCCCACATATCCAGCTATGGTTATACCAAGCCCTTGTGACGAGTCTTTCAGAAGATTGACATCAAAATAGTCTACTTCTGGTGGTAGCTCTTCATTATATGGAGGCTAAAAATAGTAACACAAACATATTACACAAACATAGAAACAACATCGCTTGTTCCTATTTTCCTTGCTCATCCATTTTAATCAAGCCTCAAATTAATACTGTCATTAAACTGTGTGCTTCCTGACAGTTTATGTACCTAATATTTTATTCACTTTTCACCATTTTTTTGTGACCTTCTCATTATACTGACATTTAATTTCAAACAAAAATCTTAATTGCTTTTGCTAAATCCCTCACAGAATTTGTTTTCCCATTATAAGCACTAAGTTTTAAACAAGAGTATCATTTAGTGACAAAATATGCACATCACAAATGCTCAGTCTCATGATTTTTAAATCCCATCATTATGATGATTAAACTAGAAATGTGTCCATAGGACACGGATGCCCCCACACGCCACTGTTCTGTCAATCTTATGACTCTAGGTCAAATATTTTTTGGACTTCATATGCCACAAGTTGAAAACTAAAAATCAACAATTGCCATACTTCTGTTAAATTTGGTCGCAGCAAAAATTCCTTCCTTTACTACCATCTACACATTAAGGTTGTTCATCCCTGGAAGTTTAAGCAAAATCTGCCATCCGGTTTAAAAGGAGTTGCGTTCACAAAATTTCTACATAGTATATAGTGAAAAATTCAACAAAGGGCCATAATTCTATTAAATTTGGTTGCAGCCAAAATTCCTTCCTTTACTACCATCTACACATTAAGGTTATTTATCCCTGGAAGTTTAAGCAAAATATGCAATCCGGTTTAAGAGGAGTTGCGTTCACAAAATTTCTACATAGTATACATGTATAGTGAAAAAATCAACAATGGGCCATAATTCTATTAAATTTGGTCGCAGCGAAAATTCCTTCCTTTACTACCATCTACACATTAAGGTTATTTATCCCTGGAAGTTTAAGCAAAATCTGCCATCTGGTTTAAGAGGAGTTGCGTTCACAAAATTTCTACATAGTATATAGTGAAAAAATCAACAAAGGGCCATAATTCTGTTAAATTTGGTCGCAGCAAAAATTCCTTCCTTTACTACCATCTACACATTAAGGTTGTTCATCCCTGGAAGTTTAAGCAAAATCTGCCATCTGGTTTAAGAGGAGTTGTGTAAACAAGATTTCGGGACGTACGGACGGATGTACGGCCGGACGTACGTATGGACGGACGGACAAGTGCAACGCTATATGCTCCCACTTTGTGGAGGCATAACAATCAATACTAACATACTGTACTTATCTGACCTTAGCCAAAGGAACCTACATTTTGCTAGTGACACACTGCTTTATAATAGTGAACAATTGTGCCAAGTTATATTAAACCCCTGTCACACTAGGACGGCGTTCTCACGGCGTCCAAAAAAAATTCAGAACGCCAAGGTGAGCGCAGTAAGATCGCAAACATTGCCACTGCATCGCCGTAGCATCGTAGTGGCATAGCATAGAACGCCGACCAAAGGCGCGCATTTTGAACATGCTCAAAACAAACGCCGTCACTCGGCGTTCTAAAATGAGCGCAGTAGCATCGCAGTAAGGACGCCGTAGCAACTCAGTAGCATCTCCTACAACGCAACAGGAGCGCCGCGAAAGCGCAAAAGGAACGCCGAATCAACTCCGTGGTTATCCACGGCGCTTGTACGGAGATTGTGCGACGTCTTTACCGCGCTTAAACTGTGTGTGCACGGCGCTTTTACGGAGCTTTACGATTTAGACGCAGTGTGAGCGCTGCGAGAGCGTCGTATGAGCGCAGTAAATGCGCAGTGAAAGTGCAAAGAACGTCATAGAAGCGTTGTCCGAACGTAGACAATCGCCAACTAAAACGCCGTTGAAGCTCCGTAGCATCGCCATGAAGACGCCGTGAAGTCTTCATGACATCAACAATATCACATTTTTTATTGCGATCTCGCGGCGTTTTGTTAAATTTAACAACGCCGTGCAAACGCAGTGAAAGCGCATTCTAGTGTGACAGGGCCTTTACTTACAAGTCTGTAGTTATATTATTAACAAGTCTGTCAAGGCTTATAGTAGTTTAAGTATGACCTTTGACTTGGTTCCTAGGCATGAAACAATGGCTCATACTTAAATCCCCCCAAGCATGTAGAAGATTTGCTCTGAACAAAACAAAATACTGCCTGGATTATGGCTGCCTTTTTCAATGATAAAAAGAACAATCAGCAACCATTGGTACTAAAAAAATCTTCTTTATAAAATACTGGTTGCATTGTATTTTCATTCCTCAGCTACCTTTTCCAATAAATACACTGTCATATTCTGATACTGTAATTATCATTGCATGTGATTTACATCTTTAAAAACAAAGTTTTCATTGATGTTATTTATCAACATTAGCTAGAAATGTCTTAGACTAGGAGAATATTGCCAACTTTCAATGTTTTGTTGCAACAAAAACTAATCTTAAGAATGCCATTTTCTGACAAAACATCCATATGTTTCCTGTAAACAATTTCAGAAGTATTCAACACATCAACAGGGACTGTAACTACTTCACATAGCTTTATAAACAAACAAATGTTCTACGCAAATCCATTTTCGCATCTCCATTTTCGAACATTCAAGTGAAATATTTAATATTAGCCTGCTTGAAAAGATAATGAGCTAAACTTTTCTCTCCCTTATTGTGTTTCACTGCTATAGATTAAGTTCAAAAACAAATTATTAAAATACCATATACCAGTAACACAAAATTCTGGTCTCCTCTTGCCCTCACCAATTTAGTTAATTAAAATACCCATTAAGTTGATTAAAAATAACTGTATCAGGCAAGCAACAGGTCACTGACTCATATCAACATAACACAATGATTCTTCTGCAATATATACATAACTATAACTGTCTAAGCTGAATTCTCTTACTCTGCCAAAAACTGCACATTGTGTCTGGTCATTTACCTTCTGGTAACTGTATCTTATCAGATTAGACTGTCTATTGACAAGTACCAGAATGTTAATGAAGACATTAAATTCTATCATCAATCAAATGGTATGGTGATGGTTACCTGATGAACCTCTGCATGCTCCACCAGTCCTTTCTGTACAAGATTCTGCTGCTCTATCTGATTCTCAATCAACATTTGATCCTGTTTATCTAGCATTGACATTATCTGTTCTAAATGTTGATCTAGCTGTATAGTAGGTACAATTGGAGCATCTGGTGTCGGGACAGATTGAGGTTCGTTGATTGGTCTTGCAACAATCAGGCGAACATGGCTGCCGGCCTGACGTAAAACTTGGGCAACTTGCTCCGAACCAAATCCTCTAACATCAACATCACCAATTTGCAAGATATGATCACCACTGTGAAGTCTACCATCCTAAAATATTGAAAACTCAACTTAATCAATGCTGTTACTGCTTTAATTAAATCTAAACACAAACTTTTTGTGTAAAATGTATCTATGTTCAAAATTTGAATTTGTCCCTTGAAAATTTTAGGAAATGTATGTGTGTTCCTTTTATGAAAATAAATCTTAACTACATGTATTTTGAAAGTCAAATTTTGCAAGAATCTATATTGAAAATGTGATAAAAGGGTATCTTTTCAACAACATATTGTTTACAAAAAAACACACCTACACCTACGCCAGAATGACAGTGCATTCCACTTTTCTAGACACATGGACCATATAGGAATATTTTAAATTGACAAAAGACAACATCTTTACTAGAGGTATGGGTCTTGGTTTTTGATTACAAGCAAATACCTTCTGTTGTTAATGAGAAATGTAATGGAATGGATAAACCTTACCAAAGTGTTACATGAAGATGAAACTTATTATAAAACCCAAAAGCTTAACAATTTTCTACAAAGATATCAAATAGCTAAATTCAATCTGGTGAATCAGCTATGTGATGCAATAAATAACAAAACAAGTATGAATTTCAATTACTTATCAAAATGAGTAATGCATCTGCGTACATTTTTTCTAATAATGTTTCCAGAAATAACTGCAAATTTAGATTACTTTAACAGATTCTGCTTACATTTTACATAATAAATTAATTACTACCACTTATTGGAAGATATGAAATCAGTATAAATCATAATTATCTATGATATAAAATCTTAAAGTTCACATATATGATGTCCCAAAAGTAAACAGGAGTGCCAAAAAGGGATAATATTTCAGTGTTTATAGGACAGCCTGCCTACCTCCCTACAGAAATGTGTGATAAAACAGAAATTAATGAAATATTTCTCACAAATGATGAGGGAAATATTCACCCTGTCTCACTGATATATTTAATTATTCCACAGCATGCTTTGAATAATTAAACAGGACTAAAATGCAGAAGCACTTCACAACAATTTCACAAATATTAATTCGTCACTGAAATATTCATACTCTCTTTTAGTTAACAGAAACAATTTTTTTACAATTATATGTATAAAACTAAAAAAATTTAATTTTTCAGCATACAAAAATGTGATAAAATTTACTTTTTTTTATACAAATTTATTTTTCATTAAAATATTCAACTAATTTAACCACACACTTATTTTTGTTTTATTTTGCCACTATAAACAAGTAATCCAGGGTTAGGGTTCAAGATTCATGTTCATATCTTTCATATTTTTGAAATCATTCTACAAAATAGGCAATTTTCACAAAAATTCTAAATTAAAAAGGGGCATAACTGCAAAAATATAGCTTTCAGGATAATGCCATTGTCTTACAACTTGAGTAATGGGCTAGACACACAACAACCTGACAGTGATCACAATAGCTCAATATTTTCTTTCAACCAGATGAGCTAAAGATGCATGTCAGTGTTTAAAATAGATGACTATGTTTTGGTACTGATATAATTTACCTAAAATTCTTAATAGAATCCATTTATAATTCCGGCCCTATAATTCTATTACAATTCATTATGTATATCATTATCGTGCAAATCTATACATACTTTGTGTATCATTTTTATGTCAAAAGTCTTAGTTATAAACTTGAAACTTGTTAATAAACTTTAACTTTAATCCCTTTATACCTGCAGACAGGTATCACACCATATGTTTATCTAATCAATGAATCATTACAGACACTTCACTAAACAAAGGATAGACAACATTTTCAACTGTCTGTTAATTGCAACTCTGCAGACTCCTTTGAACAGTATTCATCTTTAACTTGTAAAAATATCTCTCCTGATTTTTTATGACTTCTTCTAATTAACAAATATCACATTGCTTTTTCCTTTCACATAAAAGATTCCATTTTCATTGCAAATGTAAGAGGACCTCATGACTTATGTCTAACATCTAGTTCAGATAAGTGCTTTCCTAATATCTGTCTGTACTGCCTTAGTGGTATTCAAACATACAGTTTTCAAAGAAGTTACATTGTTCAATAAATTCCATTAACAAATCATAACAATTACAGGCATTTAAGGAAACACATAAATTTGCTTATTAATGAAAACAGAGAGGTCAAGTTCATATTTGAATTATTTAACATGTCTGGGTTTTTAAAGTATTTTTGCTATAAATCAATCTATAATAAATACATTACAAAGTTATGGCTAATTTTAGAAAATTCCACCAATTTGACCTTTAATGTCAAGGTCAAATAAAGAACAAGGTCAAGTTAATTAACATATTCTAAAATGTCTTTTCAAAGGGATTGCTTTGCCAAAGTATGAAGACAATCCAGTCATAAATAATCAAGTTAAAGCTAATTTTAGCAGAGCAAGCAAAAAATTCGTTAATTTGAACTTTTATGTCAAGGTCACTTATTAGTAAATTTCAAATTAGGCCAGTTTATTTGAAGGTCTTGAGAGTGTTGAAAGGCAAGTGATTTGAAATCAACAACCTTAACCACTTGGCCACAGCTGCCCTACAAGCTAAAAATGGGGCCTTATGATTCACAAGTAATATTTATATAAAAGTTACCGATCAAAGAATGCAACTGAACTATCTTTGCTAAAAGCTAATCATGTCTGAGTCATATTTCAAACTACACTGATATTGTCTGGATGATAAATTTTAAATTTTGAAGTGTAAACATAATGTTTTTAGTCTTGCAGACTAAGCAATTTACATTGAAATGAAATTCTTTCTAAGAAATTGATGACTCAACAGTCACAAGTAATAAATCAAAGTAATCTCAGGTATATAATGTTTATAAATACTTACAACATCAGCAACACCACCTGGGAGAATCGTCTTGACAACAACACCAGTGCTTCGCCCACCAATAATTCCAAATCCAAGCCCTGAACCATCATTTATAAGATCAATAACTTCAATCTGTGTCCATTCTGTGTTCAACTGAAATTAAACAAAACCCAAGTTTCATTTACTGCTTTACAAAGTAATATTACAAGTAATAGTTTCACCACAGACAAAATCTCGCTTTATCCTGAATAAGAACCCAGGGGTTAAACAAGGAGCATACATACCGGTACATGTTCATTTGTAGTAGGCTTATTTCCTGTTTGTAGTTACTGTATATTAATGTATAAAATATAGAGATAGGGGTATATTCCTAACAAGTTTGACCCATATATACAGTTATATTAATGGATAACCTGCAAAGCCTATAAACAATCTTGAATATCATTAATCCCACTTACAAGCTCCCTCTTTAACCTCTATAATGCTAAATATCTACAATAAACATGTGGACAAAACAATGGGAAATTTCAAATTTGTATTGACAGAAGAGCCAACAGTGCAGACCATGATCAGATGGCACAAATGTGCTTGCTGACCTTGGTCTGTATACAATGGTCAAATTAGTAGATTCAGTTGTGGGTATCAGGCTAATGTTATAGACCAATCTTGTATCTTTTATATCAAACAACTTTTCTGTAAGTATTTATAGAAAATCTAGCGAGTATAAAAATTACATCTACACAGGGTTCATACAGAAATCAAATGCCAAAATTCAAGGACTTTTTTAAGCACTATTTAAGCATGTATTCCCATTTTTTAAGCACATTTGTTGCATATATATCAACACAATATTCAACCGAAGGATAGTTTATTCACCATTTTATCTTGAATTATACACATTTTCTGGCCAAAATTTCAAGGGTTTTTAGAAGAACAACAAAAGGTGCATCAAATACAAATTAGTTTAAAACAACTGAAATTTGTCCACTTACTGCGGCAGTATGTTGAGCAAACATTTCATAATTGATTTTGATACTAAATTGGATCATTTTTTTGACTGTTGATTTTTATGACACTATGTCATTCAATCATTTTCAAGCATATTTTCAGCAAATTTAAGCACTTTTTAAGCACTTTTCAAATCAGTAATCAAATTCAAGGAGTTTTAAGCACTTTTTTACATTTTTAAGCACTTTTAAAGAAAGGGACACAAATTAAAGCACTTTTTAAGACTGTACGAACCCTGCTACATATAAAACAATCTAATTCAGAGAAAACTCACAATTATTTTCATACAAACAGGAACATTAGCTTGCTAATTATTAGTTCTATTTCGATTCACTTGTCAGTTTTGATTTATAAACTTTTGCAAAAAAATTAAATTGTCTTCTGGAAACATTCTGCAGTCTTAGTGCTTGACATAAAACAGAAAGCTATTAAAATCTGAAAAGTTTGCTATTATCTTCATTATTTTCAGCATAAATAAGTTTTTTTTACAATAATAGAGGAAAAAGACAAAACAATCAGGTCTGAATATAAATATAGTTGGATAATGAATGTTTATGTAAAAAAAACTTTTCTGCAGACATATAATTCACTGAATACAGTATAAAACTTCTATATCAAATTAAAGTGACACAAATTATATCTTTTAATACAATCTTTGCAAATATTCTGGCATGCATATTCTCCATATTAATAATGTAAGATAAGAGTCCACTGAAAATTTATTCCAAACAAAACTTTCTTATAAGTGAGACAAGACAAAATCTCAAATACCAAAAGAGCACTAATATAAAACAAATGGCCTTCCACTAAACCATTTCCACAGCTCAGAAATCAACATATTTTGTTCAAGAAAATGTCAACATGCAAAACATATTTTGTTGAAAGATACTGTTTTGAGAAGCCTAAATAAACTCAAAAATCTTTTTACAAACACTACTCTAACATATGTATGGAAGATATTGTACTGGAACATATGTTCAAAAACCATTCTAAGGAAAATGCTGTATGAAACAGAAGCTCAAACACCTTATTCCTTGAAAATACAGACACATTTAAGGATCATATATATTATGCTGAAACAAACTGAGGAGAGATACTTCATCATGCAAAAGCTTCTTATGCAATAATCCCACATATTTAAACATGTTTTGTAACAACACCAAGTATATCTTGTTGTTTATGGAACCTTTGCTTGATCATCTTGTGTAGAGCTGGTTCCACAGATTATAGAAAATATTATTAATAATTTTTCACAGTTGTATAGTGCAAGGAGCATAATTATGCTCAAACATCTTTTGTATAGTGATGACACAGCATAAGGAATACTTAAACATCTTGTGTAGTTGTGACACAGTATATATGACACATATACTCAAAATATACTCAAACATCTTGTGTAGTAAAGAAACTGTATTTGGAAGATATGCTGAAACATCTTGTGTATTGGTGCAACAGTGTATGGAATATAATGCTGAAATATCTTGAGTAGTGATGTCAAGTGTATGGAATATATGCTAAAACATCCAAAGTTTCAACAATACCATATTATAGAGCATATAAAAAACATCTTGAGTAGAGCTACCACAGTGCATGGAACATTAATATTATGCTCAAACATATTTTGTGTAAAGATGATGCAAAGTGTGAATCTTACAATCAAATCTTGTGTGTTATCTGAATTTAGTCATATGTAAATATGTCCTATTTACATCATGTGTAGAATATGTTGTGTGTGATTGTTAAAAACATAATAGTACAAGTAACATCATTCTATTTAAACATTATTTCTGAAAGGTCACTGTAACTAATGTAACCTTTCTTATGATACATATAGTAAGTAAAAGGCTACTGTTGTTACTGAAATCAATAACAGGCACGCCTTGTTTTGTAATCATATTCAATACAATCAGTGCAGACAAATCAATTATATGTCTGATACAGCATCGACAGCTTACAGTTTAACAGATATATAAGTTACGTATACAGAATAGTCAACTTCCTAAACAGTCACTTCCAGAATTTAATATTTGACAATTTAGATTTGTAAATGGAATCATGACACAATGTAAAATACTGATAGATACTTTGCATGATCTTATAAGATCTTATTTAATTATATACAATACAATTTAGGTATGTTTGAGAATAATTGTTTGGATACCTGGGATACTCGAAAATTTCTTGTTACATTTCAGTTAAGGTTACAATTTTATTTTTCCAATAAATATTTTATCATGGACAAATAGTTGACAAAATAAAGGATGTTACAACACTATTTTAACATGATGCTAGCTAACAATACAAAAACAAAATACACAAAATATTTGTTAAACTGATCAAAAATAAAATATATCAAACTTGCTTATGCATTCATCATGACATACAATTACATGTATAACAATAACAATATAACTAAACGAGTTAAAGCAAAATGAGAAGGTGATAGTACCGGTGCTGCGTGTAATATTGGCCGTCTATTTGTAGCAGGTGACGGTGTTTGCCGAGCTTTCATGTAACACATGGCAGTGACAAGAGCTCCACATATAGCATCCTGGTAAGATTGATTCACACGTCGCTCCATTTACAACTACACGTATTAATTCATGATAACCCCACCCACTTCACTTTAAAGCAGACATTGTTCCTAACACCTGTTACCTAGGAAACTACTTCATCATTTCAATTGATTATGTAATGATATATCTATTCTACATATACATTTGAAAGTTCCAATTATAACAGATAGACAGTATCTTATCCTACATCCATTTAAGAAAATCCTTGCATTATAGCACCATGTCTTCACAGCAAAATGTCAACAATCTAAGAATCAATTCCATGGACATATAATTGGATACACTGAAGCAATATCATAAATGTCGCTGAAGGAAATCAGTCTCAGATGTCCTTTACAAGTTCACATTTTAGTTTCACCAGTATTGTAATATCTATAAATTTTCCAGTAAGTTTCCCCTCAGGAAAAACCAATAGAAATATTTCTTCTACATTTTAACTCTCAAGAAAAGTATCTTTCAATCATTTTCATACTTCTAAACATCATAAAGTTTACATTAATTCTGTCCTTATCATTGAAAATATTTATCTTGGAAAATATGTTAGCAAGTACAGCTAGAATGTGTGGAAAAGTTACCTGTATAACAACGTACATATATCATACCTGTTAAATGGTACTAGCAATATAATAAAAGCTGAAAAACCATTACATTACACTTGTCAATAATCTTTTAAAAAATTTGTATGCATCTTACTTTAAAAACCAAACGGTAAATTAACCCAAAACCATCCCTAATTATTTGAAAGGACTTGTCCTTTTTTCAATCTGGATTTAAACCATTCTTTCATGTTTAAAACATTTCAAAAAATTTACTGACTGACAAAAATTGTTTAATATAGACAAAAATAGGAAAAGTGCAGCCCTTGACCGGGATGTCAGGGAAGTGCCATTTAAATTTTGGCTGCACTGGTCACATGGAGAAAAAGTTTAAGGGGCTGGGCGGGACAAAGGGGTTTAAGGTCACAGGGCTACTCTACTGTATGGGAAGTAGAATATGTCTGACATAATGTCTAAAAGACTTGCTCAAATTATAACTTGGGAAATTACAGACAAGTGAGAATAATTTTGATTAGTCATACTAATTCAAGAGATTACCACTCAAGTTCCAGTAATAATACAAATATATCCAGACAATTTCTATATGGCATCCTGATGATCAGACATAAAGACAGGCCTGGAAATGGTTATAACCTCAAGTTCAATGTATGATAAAAATATTATACAATCTTACCACATGTTGTTTTATATTTTACAAAACAAGTTTTTCTCAAATTACTTATGATAATACAACCTGATTTCAGTCTCATTCTTTGAGAAGTGACTTCTTAGAAGTGACAAGTTAGGAGAAGAAAAGGGACCATCATTAAACATTTGTATAGTTTTTAATTCGACACTCCCAGTGTTATGATTGATAGTATGACTGATGATTCAATGATAATTTTGTAAAAGCATATGTTTTTACAGGACCAAAGACAATATAATCTATCAATTCTATTTATGTTAACATTATCTTATGTCATTTTGAACTAAAACGAGACATCTGTTTAAAATAATGCGGCTAAATATCAGG